TGTGTATGTATTGTTTTGAAGAAGAAGCACATGTTTGAGTCTCACTCATCTCCGCCCCTCGTCTGCGTTTATTTTTCTGCATTTTTGTTTTCTGCATTTTAGTGTTTCTGCGTTTTTATTTTCTTCATTCCGTGAAGGAACCGGGCCAAAACATTACATTTTTGATTTTCTATTTCAGATTATATTATAGTTTGAAAAATAGATGGGATTTTTTTCGGGGCTCATCATGATTCATATGGTCAATGCGGAACTTTATTACTCTTCATTCCAATTCCATTATTAAACAATTTCGGTGGAGAGATGGAGAGAAAAAAAACAACGCTTGAGCACCGTTTTTCATCGCAAATTTATTATACTTTTGTTTTTTTTCATTCATTCTATCTTTCCTCTCTCTCTCACTCACTCTAACATTATTTCGGAAAAAGAAAAAAAATAATGACATAATGATTGAGCGATGTTGCATATCTGTACTAGTGGTCGTGATAAACTATTCCGATCCAGAAAAAAACGCACTCGCAAAGAAGAACTCAGTAAAATAAAACCACTAAGAAAACTTCAACAAATAACGAAAACGTGAATTATACATTGAATTAATGGGTCTGGTAGAGATTCAGCTGGATGCGCGTGTGCGCACTGTATTTTCAATTGTGCGTGATCCCTTTTGTTTGTGCAAAAGCAAGAAGAAGAATAAAAATGATACGTTGTAATCATTAATTCTCCGGCTGCTAAATATTGAAATATGAATGCGATTCTTCCGTATAAATCATGAGCGCAAAATATTGAGTGGTGACAGCATTGTGTACAATTGAGATGGTTGGATGCAGAGAGGCAGACACGATGCAGAATTTCTTTTTTTAAAAAAAGTTCACTTCATTCGAAGCATATCAATAAATCACTTGACGCAAATATTTTACGTTTTTTTTCAGCGTCCCATATCTCCATCGATCGCATTCATTAAATTATGTTCGCGCTCGCAGCAGCAAAAAATATAAACTACATAAATTGTACAGACGGATTTTTTTTTTGTTTGTACTCGTTCCAATGTCATATCATCCATTTTCAATTTGTACTACAAACGTTGAAAATTATCCGACACATATTCATATCGCGGGGAACAAACCCGGAGTCAAATGATCAAAAACTCTCGTTTATTTCACCACAGGTTTTTTTCTCATTTTGATGCAAATCGGCAACATTTTCAATGTTGGAGACAAACAAATTAATATTTGTGTCAGCGAACCAACATGCACTCTCTCTCTCTCACACTCTCTCTCTCTCTCTCTTTAACTCTCTCTCTTTCTCTTTCTCTCTGCCTCTTTGCCGACTAGAGGACTTTAACACTCGACTCTGTAGCTTGGCATCAAGTCAATACGAATGCAAAGTCATGTGATATGCACAAATATCTAATTGTGAATGCGGAATAAGAAAAAAGTGCATAAAAAGCATTCCTGCGATTGCATTCCGATTGGAAAAAAGAGTCAAAAGTTGTTCAATGGTTCAATTTGTTTGTTCGTTTTTATTTACATTCACATTTTCACCATTGACACTCTACTTAATAGTGGTTGTTTGATACATTGCGGGCACGACATGAAAATCAATGTGTATTCGCCCATTACATTCGCTAAGAACAGTTTGTGCATGAAGAACAATGCCGGTTTTTTTTCTGTTCTGTCTTTCAGAATTTGCTGCCGGTTTTTTTATTTGTTTATTCATTCGGTTTTTTGTTGTTGTTATTGGCTTCGATTTTGTGGTTAGTTCGTGTGTGCTTCTGTTTGTGATCAGAGGCAGAACAGACTGCACACCGAGATGAGTTGAATTTGATTTTTTTTTTATTTGACAAAACAAACAAATCGTCTATAAATCGCATCGTGCATTTGAAATGAGACTGCGGCACACAATGCTCATAACCACACGTCAATCGAAACATACAAAAGAAGAAACATACACACAGACAAAAAAGCACCAGAGTGAATGATGCACATGCGATGACGAAATAATAAAACTTCACAAAATGAAAGTAAAAAAAAAAAAAATGGAGCGACAGAGAGCGTCATTACAATTTTATGTGTCTAGTGTAACGGGTTCTCTTGTTTGTGCTTTTTTGCTGTTGTTTTTCAAACTATATATTTGTGCATGCATCAGAATTTTTCACCGATTAATGTTGGGCAATGACAAAACAGCGCACGATGACAGTGGAAACTTGCATTATTTTGAATTGAATTGTGTGTTTCCATTTGGATTGATTCATTCAAAAGAGTTTCATTGCCATTGCTCGTTTTGTGCCTTTTGTTTGGCTATCAAATCGCTCTTAGCATACATATCATCGATGACTCATCCAGCCAAACCATGAAAGTGTCCTGTGTCGTTGTTAGCGAATCTTCCTTTAATTATCATATTTCTTTTTACTGTTCGAATGCAATCTGCAAACCGGATGCGCTGGCGGGGTGGGGAGGTAGCGCTTTTGAATTCAAGCTCATGGCAAAATCATACCTATTTTTAAGGAATAACAATCGTTTGCTTCGGTTGACGAATTGGCCGAGCGTTACATTGGACATTTTCAAAGCAGAGTTTTTGAAAAGTTTTAATGAAAAAAGCACATATATAGATAGTCATAGTCATAGTTATATGTTTACAAAATGTGATGCAGAAATAAATTTAAGTTTTTGCAAATTAATTTCACGCCCGTCCTTCGCTCGACAAAAATTAATATCGTATTTTCTCTTGTTTCTCTTTTTTTTCCCAAATAGGATTTTAAACGAATTCACTGGTTTGCAGTGTTGATGATGTGCACCAGCGGCTGTAATATAAATCGAACTGCATAAAATGTGGCCATTGCAACAGCGAAAGGCCACCAGCACCACCACCACCGTTGTCACTGTCAATAAAACGACGGCGGCGGCAACGCGAACGGCATCGTGGTCATCGTCATCGTTTCATTTGCCGATTGTTATTTTAACGACGATATTTGTATTGTTGTCGTCGTTTGTTTGCAATGTTGATGCGTATCTGATTGTGGTGAGCGACCAAACACCGGCCGGTGCCATCATATTCAATGCATCCGTTTATAAACTTGGTTCGGAGCGATTGTATCGCATCAATACACATAAATCGGCACAATTTGTGCATCATTTATTACATGTCGATCACAAAGACGGTCAAATTCGTTTGAAAAAATCGCTAAAATGTGATGGCATATTCTATCCGAATATATTCACATTTTATGTTGATTCAACGACGAATCGATTGCGAAGCATTGATTATTATAGTTTACCGTTGCGAATATTGGTGTCGGGCGATAATTGTAATGATGATTATCACTATATGCAACACCCGACCACCATCAACGGTACGGCAATATGGTTTGGACGAAATTTTGAAGAGGACAATCATGTGTTGGACCGACGACGACGGCGACGACGGCGACGACGGCGTCACATTTCCAGCAGCAGCAGTAGCAGCAAAAATAATCCATTGGCCGTCTATCAAAATGGTTTGGTCAATGAAACGGATTACAAGCATTTTAACGACGGTGACATACTGTTTGATAGTGTGCTTACAAATTATGAACGACACAAAATGTTGTCACGCAAACGACGTGAACTTCAATTGAACGATGCCATTTACAATAAAATCACCGATGCCAAACAATGGATTACCGAAACATATGCATCGTATGCCATTCATACGACCGACAAATGGAATAAAATTTGCATGAAAAAATCACAATATATAAATTCATTGAATGCATTTTTACCGCGAACGATTTGCCAATTTTGTAAAGTGAATTTTTTGGATGTCAGCGATGAACGTTTCAAAATTGAATTACAAAATCGTGATTTGGTTGCAAGCCGTGATGTTTGTATACCGGAACCATTATGGAAGGTGATTGTCACACTAAAAGTGAAATGCGATCGACCGGATATTATTGATGCGGATCATCGACTGAAAATTGTCTATCATCATCAGGAATTTAATGACACCGATATGGCAAGACGTGTTAAACGTGAACTACGCAATCAAAGTCCGTACTTTGAGCAAGCACTGTATACGGCATCGGTGTTGGAAGAACAACCGGCCGGTTCAACGGTGACAACTGTTCGAGCTCGTGATCCCGAAGATTCGCCCGTTGTTTATTCGATGGTGTCATTGCTTGATTCACGTTCACAATCAATGTTTAAAGTTGATTCACGTACCGGTGTTATTAGCACCACCACATCATTGGATCGTGAACAAATGGATGTACATTATTTTCGTGTTGTTGCCACCGATGATAGTTTTCCGCCCCGTTCAGGCACCACAACGTTGCAAGTGAATATCTTGGATTGTAATGATCATGCGCCAACATTTGAAGCCGAACAATTTGACACGAGTATACGTGAAAGTGCGACAGTGGGTTCAACGGTGATTACATTGCGTGCCACCGATCAGGATATTGGGAAAAATTCGGAAATTGAATATTCAATTGAAACGGTGAATGGTGGTGGTACAACAACACCCGATCAGGATATGAATACATTTAAAATTGATCCAAAATCTGGTGTCATTTCAACGCGCAGCAGTTTAGATCGTGAAGTTGCCGATATTTATTCGATTGTTGTGCAAGCAACCGACATGGCAACACCGCAAGATGAAAGAAAATCAGCATCGGCCACGGTTATTGTTAAAATACTCGACGACAATGATAATTATCCACAATTTAGCGAACGAACGTATTCGGTACAGGTGAGTGAAGATAAATGGGATGATACGAATATTATTGCACAAATTCGTGCCACCGATGCTGATGATGGCAACAATGCGGCCATTCGATATGCAATCATCGGTGGTAATACTCAATCACAATTTGCCATCGATTCAATGTCGGGCGATGTTAGTTTGGTGAAACCATTGGACTATGAAAGTGTACGCAGTTATCGGCTTGTGATTCGTGCTCAAGACGGTGGCAGCCCATCGAAAAGTAATACAACACAGCTACTCGTCAATGTACTCGATGCAAATGATAATAGCCCAAGATTTTATACGTCACAATTTCAAGAGGCCGTTCTTGAATCCGTTCCGGTCGGCTATAATATTGTTCGTGTACAAGCATATGATGCGGATGAAGGATCCAATGCTGAAATAAACTATAGCATTTCAGATCGAAAAGATTCATTGCCACTTGCTGTTGATTCACGCACCGGATGGATACACACGGTTAAATCACTTGATCGCGAAGATATGTCACGGTATACATTTCAAGTGGTTGCCACCGATGGTGGAGTGCCTCCACGTTCGGCAAGTAGCTCGGTTGTGATCACCATTCAAGATGTTAACGACAATGATCCAACATTTAGTCCGAACTTTTATGAAGCATCGATGGCAGAGGACCAGCCACCCGGTTTGTACAGCTTTCTTTTGGAAATACTTTTTTCTTTCGAAAAATCAATGAGATAAAAATCACTGTTTAAACTCATTTTTTTTATTCAAAAATAGAAAATGATTTAAACTTTTATTATTTTTATGGATTGTTAAGAGAAAGTAAAGGTGTTTCTCTTTCAATTTTTTTATCGTAAAATTTTTGCTAAACAAATTTCTTCAAATTTTTGTCTATCCAGGTACACCAGTCGTAACGGTAACCGCAACAGATCCCGATGAAGATTCTCGACTGCATTATGAAATAACGTCAGGCAACACCCGCGGTCGATTTGCAATAACATCACAAAATGGACGAGGTCTGATAACCATTGCCCAGCCATTGGACTACAAGCAAGAAAAACGATTCATTCTAACAATAACTGCAAGTGATTCAGGTGGTCGTACCGCCACCGCTACTGTAAACATAAACATTACCGATGCAAATAATTTTGCGCCTGTCTTTGAAAATGCGCCATACTCAACGAGTGTATTCGAAGACGTGCCAATTGGAACGACAGTTTTGGTGGTATCGGCCACCGATAGTGATGTTGGTATAAACGCTCAAATCACATACTTTTTGAATGAAGAATCGCTGAATAGTTTGGGTACAAGTGAACCGTTTGCAATAAATCCACAAACTGGTGCGATAACAACGATTGCACCATTAGATCGTGAAACGGTCAGCGCGTATTTATTAACGGTAACGGCAAAGGGCCAATTAATTACACAATTACTTATTATTATTGATTGTTTTACGATTATTTATCGATTATTTGTCGATTAATTTAAATTAATTCTTTTCTTTTGTGATTCTCCCCTTAGGTGACGGCAAAGGACGGTGGTAATCCATCGTTGAGTGATACAACTGATGTCGAAATCTCTGTGTCCGATGTAAATGATAATGCACCGTCGTTTAAAGTGCCATTGTATCAAGCTTCAATTCCAGAAGATGCATTGATTGGAACGTCTGTTGTTCAAATTTCGGCCTCTGACGATGATATCGGATTGAATGGTCGTGTCAAGTACATGTTGAGCGAAAAAGATCGTGATGATGGTTCGTTTGTGATCGATCCAACATCGGGAATTATACGGAGCAATAAACAATTGGATCGCGAAACAATAGCCGTTTATCATTTGCAAGCGATTGCAATTGACAAAGGAACACCGCCGATGAGCAGTACAATTGAGGTGCAAGTACGGTTGGAAGATGTAAACGATTCACCACCAACATTTGAATCTGATCGCATAACATTTTATGTGCCGGAAAATTCGCCGGTTGGTTCGGTGGTTGGTGAAATTCATGCCCACGATCCGGACGAAGGCGTAAATGCAATCGTTCAATATTCAATTATTGGTGGCGATGATTCGAATGCATTTTCATTGATCACACGACCCGGATCGGAACGTGCGCAACTGTTAACGATGACCGAAATGGATTATGAATCGCCGAAGAAACGCTTTGAATTGGTTATACGAGCGTCGAGCCCGCCATTGCGAAATGATGTGACTGTCGAAATTCTGGTCACCGATATCAATGACAATGCACCGATTTTAAAGGATTTCCAAATTATATTCAATAATTTCCAAGAGTAAGTACAGCCAACCTTTCAATTTCGCTTAATAAGAATATCACATTTTAAATTTAATTGCAATAATATCACTCATTTCTTTCAGTTGGTTTCCAAACGGTGAAATCGGACGAGTGCCAGCCTTTGATGCGGATGTCAATGATAAATTGGTGTATCGCATTTTATCGGGCAACAATGCAAATTTACTACGTTTGAATGCTTCGACGGGCGCGTTAACATTGAGTCCACAATTGAATACAAACGTGCCGAAGTATGCGGTGATGGAAGTATCTGTTACGGATGGCATTAATGAAGCAAAAGCAATTATGACACTGATTGTTCGATTAATTACGGAAGATATGCTTTTCAATTCGGTCACTGTCCGGCTGGATGAAATGACCGAAGAAGCATTTTTATCACCTTTGCTGAACTTCTTCTTGGATGGTTTGGCTGCAATTATACCATGCCCAAAGGAGAATATCTATTTATTTTCAATTCAAGATGATACCGATATCAATTCACGTGTTTTAAATGTCAGCTTTTCGGCACGACGATCCGATGTGTCACACGAAGAATTCTATACATCACAATATCTGCAGGAACGTGTTTATCTGAATCGAGCCATTTTAGCACGATTGGCCACCGTTCAAGTGTTACCATTCGATGATAATTTATGTGTGCGCGAACCATGTTTAAATTACGAAGAATGTTTGACCGTTTTGAAATTTGGCAATGCATCGGGTTTTATACACAGTGACACAGTTCTATTTCGTCCAATTTATCCGGTAAATACGTTTGCATGCAAGTGCCCAGACGGTTTTACCGGCAGCAAAGAGCATTATCTCTGCGACACCGAAGTTGATCTATGCTATTCAAATCCATGCAAAAACAAGGGCAATTGCATTCGACGCGAAGGTGGCTACACCTGCATTTGTACCGGTGACTATACGGGCGAAAATTGTGAGACAAAAATTGACACTCTGCCACCGTGTATGACAGATTTCTGTGAAGGATCCGGCCGATCATCGTGTCATCAAACCAAAATGACACCACATCCATCGTATACACAAACATGCGAACTACGGTCCAGATCATTTCCGAAAAGTTCATTTTTAACATTTCCCAGTTTGCGACAACGGCATCGTTTCAATTTGAAAATGAACTTTGCCACAGTCAATGAAAACGGTCTGCTCTTGTACAACGGTCGTTACAATGAATTACACGATTTTATTGCATTGGAAATTCTCAACGGACACATTTCATTTTCATATTCACTCGGCCAGGATATCAAATCGGTGACAATCGAACAAAAGCGCAAAATATCGGACGGTCAATGGCATACGGTTGAAGTGGCCTATTTCAATCGTACGGTAACAATTAGTTTGGATGAATGCGATACAGCATTATTGTTGAATGGTGATTTGGGTGAAAAATGGAACTGTGCGAATAGTACAACATTAGTATTGGATCGTCGATGTTCACTGTTAACCGAGACGTGTCATCGATTTTTGGATTTAACGGGACCATTACAAATTGGCGGTTTACCAAAAATTCCGGCCCATTTTCAAATTCAAAATCATGACTATGTCGGATGCATTTCCGACATTTACATCGATCATAAATACATCGATTTAAATTCATATGTGGCTGACAATGGAACGACGGCTGGTTGTTCAAAGAAAACACCAAGTTGTGCATCGGAACCGTGTTTCAATGGTGGCACCTGCAAAGAGGGATGGTCAACACATACGTGTGAATGTCCGGAAGGATTTACTGGGCATGCGTGCCAAGAGACGGTGCCGTTGCCATGGCGTTTTTCGGGCGATGGTTTGCTCAGCTTTAATCCATTACTTCGACCTATTCAATTTCCATGGTTAACCGCGTTATCGGTGCGTACACGACAGCGTAATGCATTTTTATTGCAAATTCAAGTTGGTCAAAATAGTTCGGCAATAGTTGCATTGAAAAATGGCATTTTACACTATATTTTCAACGGTGAACCAATGTATTTGGCGGGCAGTGATTTGGCCGATGGTGAATGGCATCGCATCGAAATAAAATGGTTGGGAATGGATATTTCATTTTCAGTTGATTATGGTCAACGCATCGGCGTGGTGCCAATGTCACAAAAAATCTCCGGCAGTTATGTGGGCAAAGTGAATTTGGGCAGTGTTGACACAAGCTTTGGTCACATTGAAGATCTACCGCATTTTGAAGGTTGTATTCAAGATGTTCGTGTTGGTGGACCGCAATCGTCGTTGAATCGACCAACCGTACGTGAAAATGTTCGAGACGGTTGCGAATCAAAATCAACGTGTGAAGATTCATGTTTTGAGCACAGTTCATGTGTTGCCGATTGGGATCAAACAATGTGCGAATGTTTACCGGGATATGTTGGTGACGACTGTGTACCGATTTGTGCATTGAATCCATGCACATCGGGTGTGTGCCGCGTCGATCAGAGCAATCGCAAAGGATACAAATGCGATTGCAGCAGTACAAACAATACGGGCGAATATTGTGAAATAAATAAGATGCAAACATGTCCGGGCGGATGGTGGGGTGAAAAAGTGTGCGGACCATGTAAATGTAATGTAAAACAAGGTTATCATATGAATTGTAATAAAACCACTGGCCAATGCTATTGCAAGGAGAATCATTATCAGCCAATCAACGAAACGGCATGTTTCCCATGCGATTGTTATGCCATTGGTTCGTTTGGCGGCACCTGTAATCGTTTGACTGGCCAGTGTGAGTGTAGAGAAGGTGTTATTGGACGACGATGTGATTCATGCTCAAATCCATATGCCGAAGTAACGTTAAAAGGTTGTGAAGTTGTGTACGACTCATGTCCAAGATCGTTTGCAGCTGGTGTATGGTGGCCACGAACGCCGCTTGGACAAGTGGCAATTGAAAGTTGCCCATCGCCGGCGTTTGGAAAGGGACGTCGTGTATGCGACGGTGATCGTGGCGGTTGGAGTCATCCGGATATGTTCAATTGTACATCCGAACAATTTATCGATTTGCGAAAACGTTTGTCACAATTGGAAAAACGTGAATTGGAATTGAATTCATTTATTTCGGTGAAAATAGCGGCTGCACTGCAGCATGCTACCGATGTGGTGGGAAATATAAATGGAATTAATGTGGCGAATAAGAATAGCGATTTAAAATCGAAAATAACACCAATCAATAAGGATGCGGTTTGGCTTGACGAATACGAAATGGAATATCTAACGGATGAAGTGAAATTCGTACATGATCGATTGTATGGTGCCGATTTATTGGTGACCGAAGGTTTACTACATGAAATCATCATTTATGAACTTATGCAAAATGGTTTGAATCTATCGCATAGTCAAGACAAGTATTTTATTCGGAATTTAGTCGAAAGTGCAAGTGTAATTTTGGACGAACGCTATACTAGCGAGTGGAAACGTTTAACGCAATTGACACAACGAAAACCGGGCGATTTAGTCGATGCATTCAATAAATATATGACAATTTTGGCACGATCACAACATGATACCTACACAAATCCATTTGAAATAGGTAAGGGACAAAATAGTTAAATCTATTTCTTTAAATTTTTCAATTATTTTTTTTAACAAAATCTTTACTATTTCTCTTTTTACTTCGTAGGATCGAATAATTTGGTGCTCGGATTGGACATTGTAACCACTGAATCATTGTTTGGCTATCAACCACAACAATTGTCCGAATATTTCAAGGAGAAATCGAATCATCATTCAAATCAATTCACAACGGAAAGTGTGATTTTGCCAGATACCAGCGCATTTTTACAACACAATCCAAAGCAAAAGCCAATGATTTTCTTCCCCAAATACAACAATTACATGCAAAACAAAAAGAAATTCGATCATCATACAAAATTTATGGTGCCATTGGATATGTTGGGCATCACAACACCCGAAGACGGCAACGATCTCATTCATTCAACAAATTCACAAATGAACGATAAACATCGTGCAATCATTAGCTATGCACAGTACAAAGATATGGGTACCTTGTATGACAGTGCATTCGATGAAACAATTACACGACGATGGGGTGTTGATGTGAAAATTGCCACACCAATACTATCGCTGACTATTCTGGTGCCGAGCACAAATGAACAATCAAAATCAGCAAATGGTGGTGGTTCGAATGTATCTTCGAAAATAATGTTGGGCCGTGACATCGAATCAAACCATATGGAACGGGAACGGGAACGGGAACGGGAACGGGAACGAGAACGAGAAAGAGAACAGACAAAAGTGCCACGCTATTCAAATCTGACCGTTTTCACAAAGGATCCGTCCAATTCAAACGATCAATTGATAAATATTTCGATACACGATGTGGGCGGTGGCGATGACGATCATGCCAGTTTGAAGAACAGCGCTGAGATTGTCATTAAAAATTCGGCAGAGAATTTCGATGAGGCATCAGTCTCATTGGCACCATCACCCACAAAGAAATCATTTGAACCTAACTTAAGTTTGGAAAACGAAGCCACCTACCCCGATAAACGTGTTGTAAAGCGTGGCATATCAGACGGTAGCGACTACGATGAAGACGATCAACAATTGGTGTACCGAAGTCTTGGTTCACCACATTTATCGCAACCGATTAAATTACAAATGTGGTTGAACATCGAACGCAGTCTCTTTGGTCCACGATCAAATCCACAATGTGTACGATGGAATAGCTTTACAAGCTCATGGACACGGCTCGGTTGTCAAACTCAGCCGCCAAATTATGAGGCTGAATTTATGATCATGGACGGACCAATTATCATCAATTGTTCATGCACACACATTTCCAATTATGCCGTTTTAATTGATGTCATCGATCCAAGCGACATACCCGAACCGTCGTTACTCATTCAAATCACAACACTGTCAGCATTTTTAATATCATTGCCAGTTCTATTTGTCGTTTTGGTTGCATTGGCACTGTTGCGCGGCCTGCAAACCAATTCGAATACAATTCATCAGAATTTGGTGTTGTGCGTTTTCTTTGCCGAAATGTTGTTCTTCATTGGATTCCAATCGCGACGCAATTTAATCGATACGGAATTTTCATGTAAAATTATTGCGATTTGTTTGCATTATGCATGGTTGGCTGCATTTGCATGGACAACCGTTGATTGTGTACACTTGTATCGAATGCTCACCGAAATGCGAGACGTTAATCATGGACCGATGGGCTTTTATTTCTCAATTGGTTACGGAGCACCGGCCATTGTTGTTGGACTATCGGTTGGCGTCAGGGCACATGAATATGGAAATAATTTGTTGTAAGTACCACTTCATTAAATTTTTTTCGAAAAAATTCGTTTTTTTATTTTGAAAAATTTGAGTATTTTTTTATCTAACTAATTTCACATTCAATTTCAGCTGTTGGTTGTCGGTGTATGAGTCCGTTGTGTGGTGGTTAGTCGGACCGATAGCCGGAATGTCTGTGGTGAACTTGATGATACTATTTGTATCGGTAAAAGCGGCATTCACGTTAAAAGACCATGTTCTTGGTTTCGGAAATTTGAGGTAATTTTTCCCATCATAAAATTGTAAATTACACGTTGTAATTTATTTTTTTTATTTTTTTGTACCTTTTTGCAGAACGCTTCTCTGGCTGTCCGTAGTGTCATTACCGTTGATGGGAATAATGTGGGTGTTGGCTGTATTGGCTGCATCGGAAAATTCTCAATTGCTAACAATGTTACTATCCGGAGCGGTTGTGTTCCATGCACTCTTCTGTCTAATCGGCTATTGTATCATCAATAAACGTGTGCGGGAAAATTTGAATCATACATTTTTGCGATGTTTGGGCAGGAAGGTGCCACTCTTAGATTCATCACAAGCGGTTAGTGTAAGCTCGCAGAATGCCACATCAAATCCACGTTCGCCGGGCGGTTTTGCGGGTGGTTCATATGAAACAAGTCGCAAACACATTGGCATCAGTGCATCGAGTACAACGTCGAAAAGCACAAACACAAATAAAACCAGTTCCAGTCCGTACCGTAGCGAGGGTCAAATTCGACACACATCCACATCAACATCAAATTATAATAGCGACGGTCAATCGTATATGAGAGGTTATAATGGAAATAGCAGCAAACGACGACATCGAGATGATCGACACGGACGACGATCACGTAAAGAATCTGATTCTGGATCGGAAACTGATGGACGAAGTCTGGAACTTGCATCGAGCCATTCAAGCGACGAAGAAGAATCAAGAGTTGGACAAAGCGGCATTGCTTCAACATCACATTGCAACATTGGCGTATCGGCAGCTTCATCATATTTACCAAATATTACGGAACACGTTCAGGTTTGTGATGTTGGCAGAAACCCCGACTCTATTGCTTTCAATTTCAATTGAGTTTTGAAGTTGACACATTTTTTCACGTTTAAAAAAAATGATTTAAATTTGCAGGCAACGACGCCACCAGAATTGAATGTAGTACAGAGTCCACAATTGTTCCCGAGCGTTCGACCGGTATTTGCGTCGCGTTGGTCAAGCCAGGCGCCCGAATCATTTTTACCAAATCCAAATGGTAATTGCATTTTTTCATTGAAATTTTTCAAAAAAAAACTTGTTGATAACATCTCATCTCTCCCAAAAAAAAAAATAGTTGTAGGTCGATGGTCACAGGAAACGGGTTCGGATAACGAAGTGCATCCCCATTCAACGAGTTCACCAAACCCACTTCCATTACCGCATCCAGATCTGACCGATACCAGCTATTTGAATCGTCAGGCACACAATCAAATGGGCGTTCCATCACCATCGATTCTCGAAAATATGCACGAAAACTATAACATTCGTACGAATCCAACGCAAATGATATACGACAATGATCGTTACAAATACGAAATGGATCATGACAATTTGTATGGCCAAAACAAAGACTATCAAGCAAATTACAGTGGTGGCGGTAGTATTGTTGGCATCGCCGATACTGCATACAATTTAAATAGTAATTATCATTCAAAAGCATCCGATGCCCGATATACAGCTGCCGCAGCAACTGGCGTTCTAAGTGATTCTGAATATCCAAATAATCAAATCATAAATCAAATGATTCCACAGCATACGAATCATTTTCTGTACGATAAACAAAGATCACCATACATGGGATCGAAGACTGAACTACCGTACATGTCAAAGGATCGACTATCGAACAACATGTACAGTTCAACGCCACGTGAAAGCCATTACAGTCTAAAATCGCCGGGACTGTACAGCGGTGCCGAATCAGTTCATAGCGTTCATTCGATGCTCAAGAATGATTATCAGGTAAATAAAATTTGATTCAAAGTAAATAAACAATTGTTGATCGTTCAATTTGATATTTTACAGCAACGTGCCACCGACTATCATTCCGATCGAATGTCAGAGACGTCTGATAAAAATGGCTACTCAAATGGCTATATTTATCCATACAATGCAGAAGAAGATCATCTATCAATGATAACCAGAAATCAGGCACTCTCATCGAATGACATGAACTATCCGTCGGTGTTGTCCACGAATAAACTATCGTCACGGCAAAGTTCACGAACATCATCACCGCCGGGTGTGACCACAGGCATACAGCCCCTTGCACCGCTCACCAGCATCACCGACACAAGCGAGTAAGTCTCACCTGACAATTTCAATACAATTCACATGATATTTTATTTCAAAAACACACACACAAATGTGTATGTAATAATACAAATTCTCTAATCTTTGGCCATCTCTTTGTCGTAATATGAATAAATTGATTTCATTTCTTCCTTTTTAATTTTCCGTTGAATTTATTTTTAATCATTGAAACCTTATCAATTAACAGATGGTGCTGGCAACGGTTAAAACGAATCTAATTTTTTTTATTGTATTTCTGTGCTCTTTCTTCTTCTTCTTCTTTTTTTTCAAAATTGAACATTTTATGTCTGTGACCGAACATTACTATTTGGATTTTTCGAACATAAAAAAAACACAAAATTTTCGGTTTTTTTAAATTCAAAACAAAAACAATCATCATCATCATTCATGAATGATTTTTTTTCATGCCCATTTCACAAATGAATCATTCTCAGATCGGAGGTAATTTTGCAGGTTTTTCTTTCTTATGTATGCGTGAACTGCAACAACAGTTTGCCGGCTGATTTGCACTTAGTTATTAGCTCATTCACACTTCTTTAACAATTTAGCATTTTTTTGAGTGATTTTCTTGTGTCTACTGAGAAATAAGCGCTTATTCCTGTGCTCACGAAATTTATATGGACTGTTCTTAAAAGAAGAAGAAAGTATTGAAAAAGGCCAAAAACCATGAATTTAAAAAAAATATATTTTTTTCTACTGAAATTCGTCATATTGTCAATGATGGTGTCCATGTGTATTTTGTGAGTACGGCATAGCTTCTGATAATTTATTTTTCGCGTAAGTTATAGATACATTTTTGATCTTTGCAAACAAAATGTACACATCCGATATTTATCACCAAAATATATTATTTTTTCGTTTTTTTTAATTGTTTCAAATTTTCTGCTTGGGTTTGAGTTTTCCTAGTGCATTTTCCGAATTTTTAAATTTCATGAAAATATTCTCATCCAATTAAATTTGAATTTATTTGCAGGAGGAAAGGTTATATTGATGATGATGAGACAACCGTTTAAACTGCCAACAAAAGACTGCCCAAAAAAATCGAAACAAAAACTCAAGTCAAAAACAATCATCGGATAATAATAACAAATGCATTCATTCCATCACCTTTAACAGACGATCTGAAAGTTGCTCTCTCATTGCAAAAAATATAAATATTTATTTAGAGAAATATAATGAATAATAATCTGTAAAAAAATGAGCTTTCAACATACTCTTGAAAGATAAATAAAACATTTTAATTTAGCTTGAAAATTGAACAAGAGAGCAGAGAACAAAATACTTGTGTCATACCATCGATCTATTATTATTATGATCGATAAATTTCATTTTAAAATACATCCAATTTTACTGCCGAATTGTCAAATTATTTACTGTTAATTCCTAATTCGACCAAGTATGAAAATTACTAATGGAATCCATTCCTCGAGAAAAAAACATTGCCAAAAAAGCTTCAAACACTTTGGGCTGAAGAATTTATCAAACGATCATTTGAAGCATTTTAATAAACACACAGCATTTACTAGACGTAGGTTTACATTCCAAAACAAAAAGACACACAAGTATTTATATGTAAATAAGATGAGATTTTTAAGTATAATTTTAAGTTTTAGTGTGTTGAATCGAATCATAATAACTAAATGGTCATTGTAATGTAATACACATGCTTCACTTCCAATTTAATTTTTAAATGAGATAAATTCGTTTAATTTCAATGGAAAAATTAATGAAATTAGTTGAATCAGATTTTGCGATATCGAATGCAAGACATTTCTTTATATTTATTTGAGAGAAAAAAAAATGGGAGACAAAAAAATACACACGACAAACAAGGAGTGCCTCAACTTTTGTTGAATATATTTGTAGTTTTGATTGAGCCGAGAAAGAAAAAAAGAAAATGTATTAGAAATAAAGAAAAGAGAAGAAAAAAAAAGACAATGTGAAGAGAAACTGATCAAAACACAGATGTATGTTGATTAATTTAAATGAAAATTGTAATTGAATTTTTTTTATTAAAAAAAAAAAATAAGAAATTGAACTATTGAATGAAACATAGGGAAATTAAATAAATAATGGGTGAAAATAGTGCATCTCTTTAGTTTGTCGCTGTACGACTCAAGCTCCATCAATAACCGTTTGCTTTGGAAGTTTCATTCAAATTTTATGTGATTTTTGTTTGTAAATTATTATTTCGTTTATTATTTGATATTAATTTTTTTGTACATTTTTCACAAAGACCCAGCAATTCATCATTTTTAGCGTTTATTTTATTGCAAGTGAAAAATAAACGAAACAAAAAGAAAATCAACGGATTGTAGATTTTTCATTGCAACTAGATCTATTTAATACTACATTAATATTGACATTTCAAAATGAATATTAAACGATTAAGAACAACAACAACAAGACGTAGACATAATTTTATGCTATTAATAAAGAAATGGTAATTTATTTCAAAATCAAAGCTGTTTTACTTCACTGCACTTTCGAAATGTTTGTTCTTTTTCAGATTTATATAAATATTTTTTTATAATTTTTGTATAAAAAAAAACTTTAGCGTCTACGCCTTAAGTAACAAACAAAAAACGTTCCATAACATAATATAGAGATCAAAAAATTGTCTTAAACTACGAACAACTTGAACATTCCGAATCAGCGGTGTCCGTGTCAGCGTATTTCATCTTGACAAGATATTTAATCTTGACTTGAGCTTCGTTTTGAACTACAAACTCGTTGAATGCCATTTGTGTTGGTTGATTGCTAACTTGTAGCGAGCCATTTGGAATTTTTAGACCGTCCGGGCGAACATGAAATGGGCTTGGATACAATTGGCCATATGCTTTGATAGCCATACAATTTTTTGGCAATTTCACATTTGAATCTGGTCTATGACAAAATTTCACTGGACCAATCGCAACCTCACACAACAATAGCAAAATGTTATTTGAGTGGTATCCATCGCAATAAGCGGCCGATTTCAGAATGCAATCAGCAAAGTATATGCCGTGCCCGAAGTTTGAGCCTGAAACTGGTACATTCGTTGGTCGAATTTTCAAACCATTCGATAAAATGCCAACGAAATTGGTGAGTCGTGAACCATGCCAAAGTAGTTGTCGATTGAAATTTTTTTCATATGGTTTAAATCGTTGCACCTCTTCATGTCGTGACACCTTGTACACTTGATCCAATTCGAGACGCTTATAATCGTTCACTTCATCATGGTCCTGCGGATTTTGTACGTATTTCAAAATGTCATTAAATTCGTCCGTAGTTTTGTCGAGCACTTCGATGGTGGTTTTGAACTTTTCATAGTACACATCAAATGGATGCATTTTCTCGTCACAATCACCCGAATTCAGCAGTGTGTATGTGATCTCCATTTGCATCAATGCCTCCAACATTTCCGACTTGTTGCGAACCATTTCATGGTTGTTTATTTTTGGTGGACGGCTGTCAAATTTGTGCGGAATGAGCATATAAAAACGATTCGATGCGTCGTCAATTTTCGCCGAAGACGAGTCATCATTTGGTTGTGTCAACAATTCATCAATTTCTTGTAGAAGATTTTGGGCTTCTCCCATTTGATGTGCACTGATTTTACCCAGCGGCATTTTTTCCGTATCCAAATCAAATGACAACAATGTCTCTTCCATTATGCTCACGTTGAAGAGAAGTTCCATCAGTTTGAAAACCGGTTCGCTCAAATTTGATGTGGCAGCTGGTAGCGGTGGCGCTTTTTTTGTTTCATATTCAATGTCCATCTGATTATATTTAGACGGTTTTTTTTCAAATTTTGTACCAAAAACATTTCCCGTCTTTTCCATATAAACATTTCCAAATTCGGAATATGCTTTGCCCAAACTATCGAATGGCATTATATTCGTTGAACCGATTTCAGTACCAATACGTCCTTTTGACGTAAATAACCAATACCTGCGAATAATCATAATATATAGCCGATCGAAGGAAAACTAAATCGATGGAATTTATACGTACTTTTCGGGCTTGGCATCGGATTCAAGTAATTGCATTTTGAAATATGAATTTTTATTCGCCGTTATATCAACCAATGTGAGAACTGTACAATAATTCAGTGAGTTATAACAATAAACGTGTGCTTCATTTGCCTTTCCTGAATCTGGATCAACAACACCACCAGCTGAAAATCGAAAGGAGAAAAGAATACAATCGTCATAAATACAATACTTTAAGAAAAATTCTATACAGCTTACATTTCCATTTCAAATTTTTGATTTTTGGTTCATGGTTTTCGTGAGACTTATTCTGTTCAACGATGACTTTTCTTTCTGGTATTCGTTTGTGCATCTAAATGAATAACAAATGAAACATCATATACAACAAAATCTTACAAAATAAAATGATGAACAAATTACATTTTTGCCCCATTTGCTAATGTCTTCAAAATCGATGAAAAAAGCTGGATTTGATTCACGTTTTATTTTATCAAAAATGCCTTCTGACACCACGTGGATTCCATGCTTTTTGGCCATAGTCATGGCTGGTCCCATTTTCTCTACTTCATCATCGTTTGTCCCAACAACGATGGCAGTGAGCGTCTCGACCATATTGAGTTTTTTATGAATACCGATCAATTTACCGCCCATTTGCACAATTTTCTCCTCGATTTCATCGTATGTCATTTTTGTCTCACCAACTATTGCGAACTCCATGTTGAAAAGCGGTTGATTTGTATGCAGCCTAAAATTTTCCAAAGCGCAATATTAAATTAGCAAAATTGATGTCTATAAAAATATTAATTGTGAGTCCGAATTACATGTAATCTTCGTCGGTAATATCTTCTATGTCCTTGATAATGCGGGCACGAACTTTAAATTTCTGATTCAAAAATGGCAGCGATGTGAGGTATTCGGTGGGTATTTTGACAGCCGTACGAGCTGGTTCCTTAACTTTATTGTAGCAAAGAGTCCATTCGGAGATGTGACCACCACAACAACGGTATGATGAGTTCATAAAAATGAATTTGCCGTTTTTGCATTTATTGCATGGTTCGATGGCACCAAAACAAATGATATCCGTTACATGATCGAGCATCTAAATCAGATAGCAAATGATGATTTTTTTTTTATTTCTTTCTTTCTTTCTTTTCTCATAAATTTTGATAAATATGTCTCACCTCCGTATCGTTTTCGGGAATGAATTGGTCATTTGCCTGTAAAATTGCTTTGCGAATATCACAATTGGTGTTTGCTTTGAGAATGTCACGTAGCTGAAAATAGTCGTTGTTTTGCTTTTTGATCTGTTTCTGGAACGCTTCATCAGCGGCACTTCCCACTTCAATCTTCTGTGTCTTTTTACACGGTGCTCGATCGTCGTCGGAATCCATCGATCTAATGTATCGCAGCACAATTTCCTTTTCACCATCTTTCAATTTTTTGAAACCAGGAAGCGCGTCGCCTGCCTTCAACCATCCATACTTCTCTTGTTGCTCGGCAAAGCAGAAAAAGTGATACCACACCGCCTGACTGTTGAAATTGTTATTGAGTTCGGTGTCATGGTTAAGTTTCATCACACATAATTCGTTCGATTTAATGGTCTTCTTGCAGCTGCCACACGGTTCCTTTCTATCACATTCAATGTAAAACTCGTTGATTGGCAGCTGTACTGGCTTGTTTTCGGTATCATCTTTGGCTGATCGCTTTCGGCTACCAACACAGATACCTGAAAAATTCAAAATATCAAACAGCGTCAAGCAAAATCCGATAAATTATAATTTATTTATATAGTTTCGGACACAATTCTAACCTAATTCTTTGCGAATTTCCATCTGATCATCATAACGAAGTTTGACATAACCATCAATTACCAAATCCGATGCAGGGCGACGATCTTTGAAAAAACATTTTTTATCGTACCATTTTGCCTCCATGCAATCGTCAGAAAGACTCTAAAATGGATTTCGCAATTGAAAAGAGCCGTTTTATAGACAAATATTGATGAATTACACCATACTGCGTAAATGATATTTACCTGCTCCATTACCTAGAATCAAAAGAGTGTAATCAATTTATTTCATTTGATCTCACTTAAATTAATGTCACTGTCGTTGACTAATTCAAATAAAATTGGCTTAAAAAATCTCTGTAAGTAACTTACACCTAACTGCAGCGAATTTACGGGAATTTGGGAACCACATCTTTGACACACATCGGTTCCCTCCGAATACGCAACACAATACGGCAAGACATTTGCCATTTTTTTCCACTGCGTGTGAACTTTTTCTTTGTATTTTGCCACCAAATAGAACGCACAAAACAAATAGAACGCACTTTTCACTTGACCAAATTTAAAACAGTAAAAAAATTTTTTAGACTACTTCGACGATATAGCTTGATGTAAGGCACATAAACAAACTGTCCAAATAAATGTCACAGCTGATGTTGTTGTTGACGCTTATGTTTGCCGACTGTGAAATGTGATACTGATTGATATACATAAAATGTTGTGTCCGTTAGTCGTGACGATTCAAAGTGAAGCATCACTGGGAGCGTGCTGCACACATTCATTTACATTATAACTGTATCGACGTGTGCTAACTTGACAAATCGCGCCAAATATTCACCATATTGAACAGCGACAAAACACATCAACACAAATGTTTATGCGTAAGTGAGAGAGCGCATTGTTTTGACTTCAAGCCGGTTGTCATACAGCCATGATATGATTTTCAGCTGTCATTCAGTATAGAATGCGAAATTATGCTTCATTTCCGATATAAGTTTCGTTTGAACGAAGAAAAAGAAACGTATTTTTTTGGATTTCTATGCCCAATATATTCAAGATTCCTTTGAGAAAAATATAAAAGAAGTGTAAAGAAAAGAAAAAGAAAATACAAGTTCTAGAACAAAGAATATCAAAGAAGAGGAGAAAAGTTCTCACGTTCTTTTGACTTTTTTTCACTTTTTTATTTTAATTATGAATAATGCAAATTCTACTTATACTACTCAAATCAAATGCATTGATTTGATTTAAAACATGTCAGGAAAATAGAAGATGTATAACAACAATCGATTGAAAATTACATCACTTACATTTGTGATATTTTAAGTTACTCATGTATCGCGCGAGTTTTTCTGGTTATATAATTGACAAGACTAAATGTTTCTGTGTGTCAACGTCCTTGTCACAAATTGCGATTTCATGCTGCGCTCCATGGACGATAAGGCTGCTCAAAGTATAAAATGAAAGCCTGCAAAAAAAAAAAATTATTTCGATCCGGGCCGGTCTATGCGAAAGATTTTTTCTAAATCCGGACGATGCGACGCAAAATTTTCAATTGAAATTTTCATTTCAAAAATCAAAAAATATTGGTCTCAAAAAATCTTCGAAATATTTTTCGCTTTGCACAAAAATCACTTGATTTTTAATGTATGTTTTTGTCAACGGTGGATTTGTCAATACTCCAGCATGGTCATTTTTCGTTCAGGTTTTAACTTGAAAAGCCGGACAAACCCGGACAATCCGACAGACTGATTCAACAAAGCAAACGTTGTAGAACTAAAAATAGCTATGTTACTCAAACACACATGTCACAATTAATGATAATGAAAATGTAAATAAAGTATTTAAATGCATAGAGTTGTTGGAATTGCCTCTTTTTATCTTTGAAGCTCGAAGAAGGGAATTGTTCATTGTTTTAGTTAAGAAAGTTTAGTCTTGTTTCGGTGAAAATTGGCTTGTATCGGTGAATCATGAAGTTTTACAATAAAATTGGTTTTTATCTTGTGTTCGTTTGGACAATTATTGAGATTACCTTGTGCATAATTGTTCTATGTACACGTGAACATAATTATACGGATAATTTTCTAAATGGTTTATGTAAAGTGGAAGGATGTGGAAATTTCATTCAAAAAGCGCTAATTGGTCGATTGTTAACACTGATATCACTGTTGTTTGGAAATCTTACGGTACATATCCATTGCATTGTGTTATTTGTCATATAAATAATCGATTTATTGAATTAGGGGTGTCATGTGCTAATGGTGCCATGGTTTCTCGTCAATGCGATTGGTGTGTTTCCACTTTTGCCACTCATTGTTTCTTCTTACTATAGATGTAGGTCACCGAAAACATTTTATTTCAGATAAATATCATATCCATATGATCATTTTCAGATAAAGAAGTGAAAGAATACGAAACATGTTGGCGCATTATAAAGTGGCTGCTTATCGGACTACATCGCATGAATGACTGAATATACCGTTGCAAAACAAATGAATTTTCTGATAAAATTCAAAATGCATATTTTACATATTTTAGTGTGAATCATAATAAAATGATGCTGATAAATCGCATAACACATCTTTTTTCTCGCAATTTCTTATCTCTGGTTTCATATGGTTATGACACATTTTTAAATGATCATATATGCGATGCTTTTAAAACGATCATTGTATTACTTGCTATTTGATTGCTTCAATTTATGGAATAAATAAATAACGGTTGCGTGTTTTTAGCTCTGAAGTGTTGTTTTTATTTGATTTAAAAGTGAAAATGTTTATAAAAATCCTGTTCTGGGCAGTTGAATGTAGGAGAAGAGAAAATCAATCGTTTGCCGAAAGTCAAGAGCAATTATGTGGTGATGATTACGATACGGATACATCGAAACGTCCAATCACTTATACATTGATCCAGATTTGGGGCTTCTTTGAAACATTAATTCTAGTTGTTTTATTAATAACAAAAACAAAAGATATTGGTGACAACTTTTTAGATGGATTTTGTTCACACTCGTTTTGTGATCGGATCGTTTTTAAGGCGATCGTTTTAAAAATTGTCTCCTCAATCCTTTTGACACTGGGATCAATACACGTAAGTTAATTACAGAGATTTTTTTAAGCCAATTTTATTCGAACTGACAATCAACAATGAAGTTCAGTGACACTGATTGAACATTGTTCATTAATGTAAGAGGATTCAAATGAAATAAATTGATGACACTCTTTTTATGCCGATTTTTAAATGTAAATTTCATATTTATTTTCAGGAAATCACTGTCTTAATGCTACCATGGTTTGTAATCAATGTGTTCGGTATATATCCGTTGTGGGAAGTAGTTTTGTCATCATATGTGACATGTAAGTGTTTTCGAAACGAATTTGAATTTTACCGAAATTGGTGAAAAATGTTGTTGATTGAAATAGCTAGGTTTAGTCAAAACCAGTTCCAACGGTACTCTGCCGAGTTTTGAACCTCAAAATCACTGTTTATTGATTGTTTACTGATGTTGGATGACACTGTGGCTTTAATCATTATATTTTTATCATAGACACAGTGTTGTGTATGCATTCACCATGTGTTGTTGAACGTTTACACACAATGGCCAAGAAAATCTATTGATTTATAATACTTTATTAATGATTAATCTCATTTTTTTCATGCAGTTGGGGAATTTAGATCACTCCTTTTGGATAATATCGATAAATGGACGAATTAGACATCTTGAAGTATCATTCATTTGTAAGTTCAGTATCTTCATCTCGCATGCGAATAAAAATACTTAGGCGCTGTTTTAATCGTGACCACTTTAAGCATCATTCATCAAAGCAACTACAAAAAAAATGGTATCTCCATCGTAGTTACTGCAACAGCTGATACAATTAAATGACTCATTGCCTTTGTAAAACGAATACTGTAATCATAGTCATTTAAATGACGCATAATTTCTTCAGTATTCCTATTCAATTTAGTGTGTTCGCAACATTCATCTCGTACTATTGTTTAAATGTCAATTGTTTTTTTTTTATTTCTATTATTGTGCTGTAGCAAATATATTTCAATTAGTTTTATTGAAAATAAAAATGTTTTGTTTACAATTTATCATTCGTTGGATGTATAGCGATATACAAAATAAGAGTTTGCATGCCAAAAATCGTCGAAATGCAAAGGAACTTCATTTGATGGAAAGTCAATCAAAATTATGTGATGAAATCGATGGCAACAAACCAGACTTGATCAGGCGTAAGCACTCGTTGATACATCGGATTATTATAGCTTGGGCATATTTTGAAGTTCTGTCTTTGGCAATTATTTTACTTTGTAAAAAACAAAGTGCCGATGAATTCCAAGATAATTTTTTAAATGGATTTTGCATACATGGTGAATGCGAAAATAATCCAATCGTCACCAAGATCATTGTGTATAAATTATTTACGGCATTTGTTTTGATTATTGGCAGTAAAACCGTAAGAATTTTTGGGTTTTTTTTATATAAAGAAATACATTCAATTGAATGGGAAAAGGACACTTTTTTTCTACTGTTTTCACTTACACTTTCTAGAAAATAAACTTATTAATGCTACCGTGGTTCTTCGTCAATGTATTGGGAATCTTTCCATTTTGGGAAATTGTTTGCTCAGCATTTTATAAATGTAAGTATATTCGTTAAAACTTTTATATATGTACTACAAATTATGCTCTTGCTTATTGAATAATCATAAAAGAATACCATTTTATGCATTGTTTTTGTACCAAATTGATTGCAGTTGAGGATATTAAAGAGATTTTGAACATTTTGAAACGATTTACCTAGGAGTCGTTGGGTGGACCTGAAAAGAATTTTATATGGGGTGCTCTTCCTCTTAAATTTGTTTATAATCTGAAAGTCATTTCACTTTTTTCTTGAAGTTATTACAAAAATTTGTGAAATTTATTTATGGACGACGGCTACATAAGTTTCCTTTAGTTTGTTATTCACATTTTACAATTTATTTGATCGAGACTAAGGAGGTTAGTATAGTTTGTTGGGACACCAATTTTGGTTTGATCAAAATGAAACAAGATAATTTGTATGAAATTTTAATATTAATTGAGTATAACTTCGATAAATAATTATTTCCACAACTAATAAAATGAAATCAAACAAATTATTTTAACCCTTTAGTGCATAGCTCTGTCTTTAGGCGGGATGTAAATATTATTGTCTAAAACGTGTTATCAAATATAAATTTTATTGAATTGTAATTTAATAAATTATTTAAAAACATTAAAGTAAGCGAATATAATTTTTAAGATGACATATAACATTCAATTATTCAATATATTGTGCACAATGGTTTTTTTGCAAACATTTTATGAATCAAGTTGCGTTGATTGTCTTCAAACGACGCTTGCGTATGATGCGGCATCGAAGCCTAGCGCTATGCTCGCCTAATATGCTTGGGGTAATATCCGCCTAGTGATCAACAGGCGAGCATAACGCTAGGCAAAACCGACACATTGGTAAAATAAGTAGATTTATTACTTTTTTTAATTTATCAATATCGTTGGAAAGAAAAATTGGACAAAATGACTAGCAAATGCATTACATGGCAACAATTTGAATAAGTTCTGCATATATGTTGAAAAATATGAAATGAAATACGGAATTCTTTTGATCAAAAAATATATTTATCACAAAATATCTTTTCTTGGTTAAAAACACATTTTCCTCCTAAATCGCATCCTCCTCATCATTTCTTCTCTCCAGAGAAACAGTCCCTGATTTATGTTCTTGCGTCATAAATTGAATATGAGTGATTTTTTTTTAGAAAGAAACGGAATATTTGGGCAAATATACATACGAAACATACTTAGCGATGGACATTGTTTGCAGATGAACAGCTCTTAATTAATATTATCAGTAACTCAATTACCAAATACTTTTAACTGCGTTGTAGGTCAAACAAATGTTGCATGATTTCGTTGTACAATATGAATCTCATGAAATTCGTTGTTGTGGTTATATCATTTTTATTTTAAAAGCAAAGTTTTTCGAAAATATTGTATTGACCCTGTAATAATTGTTTATTGTCGAAACAAATGTTTCTTAAGCAAGAGAAGAGAAAAATAGAAAGACATAAAGAAGAAAATCTTTTTGCTTATTTATTTCATTTTTTAATAATGCAATATTATTATGTTATCGAACCGCTCAAACTCATGCGCACATTTTTCTTCTATGTGTGAGTTAGTCAAGTGGTTTGAATGAGCAGAAGCATAGAAGTCTTCAATACTATAGAAATGGTAGTAAGTCGCCCAATGTTGGAAGGTATGTGTCGGGTATTAATTGTTTGTCTCCTTCGATATTGCTCTTTTGCCATTTATAAACGTCATCAATGCCGTTCACACCGGATCCGACCAGAAGTGTTTGGAACCCACAATTGTAACCAAATAAAATGTCATATTTTGCAGAATCGCCAATCATAAGAGTTCGTTCGGCGATAATGTTTCCTTGATCGAGCAAATATTTGCACATGTTTGGATTTGGTTTGCCAATAATTTTAGCCTCACGTTTGCAAGTAACTTCAATTGCACGAATGATTGGTCCTTCAAAATTTAAATTTATTATTACGGTATTCGTGTCAACTTGATATTTTCGTCTATTTACCGATTGCTGGCACAATGGTTCCATTTTTTGTTGGATACAGTTCATCGAAATTTGTGGCAATAAACAAGCATTCTGGGTTCTTCAAATAATTGCTTGCCTCGAGCATTTTTGAGTAGCTAAAATTTTGATCAAAGCTCACAATGACCGCGCCAACTTCTTCATCCAATTCAATTCCATTTGATATTACATCAAGCACATTCACTTTGTCACAATTATCCGAGTCAATGTATCGAATGCCAAGGCCTTCCAGTTCGCGTGAGATGCCAAGCGATCCAACCAAATACACCTTTTTATCGAAGTTCATATCTTGAAGATACCTGGCTGTAGCATAAGCTGATGATACAATTTTATCGACGGATATGTTATAGCCATAACCTGCCACTACCGTATGCAATTCGGAACGACTTCTTACCGACATATTTGTTACGAAGTACACTTTTTTACCCAATTTTTGTAAACGATTTGTCACCTCCTTGCTGCCGGGCAACAATTCTCTGCCAGCCCATTGGACACCTAAGGAAATGATGTAAAAAAAATGTCAACAATTCTCATAAAAATTCACAAAATAGAGCTTAATTGAAAATAATGGGATAAAAAAAATGAAATAAAATAATTCAAAATTAAATCTCCTCGAAAAAAATATTTAAAATATACGCATTGATAGGAATAAAAGACTTACCATCACAATCCGAAAGAACGGTGTCAAATGAGTTCAACCATTTTTCAATTAATTGTTTTGAGACTGCGGTTAGGTCGGTAGCAGTTTGTTTGAACATCTTTTGTCGATTAGAATGAATAATCTCAACTGATTTCTAGATACGCAGAAAAAAATCAATTGTACACCCAGAACAGTTCGATTGATTCAATTGTTTGCAATTAAAATTAAATTATAGCTCAGAACTTAGAATAATTTTCCAATGTCTATAAACCTATGTCGGGAATATAATTATTTATTTATATATGATAATCTTTCTTCACATATTGATTTGTTGACTGTATGTGTGCAATTGTGCATACATGTGCTAATTAACATTCTATATCTCAGTGAATGTGGCTAAATAACTGCACTTGTTTGGCTTCCCCGTCGTACTTGGACTTCATTTGACGCATTTGTTCATTTAGATATTTATTCCCGTGTGCAAAAAATTGACTGACTATTGAATGACTTGTATTGACTATGCATTGTAAAAATAAACAACTTTAGTTAAAATTAGTTAACAGTATGTTAATTTTAATCAATTAAAGCAAGCTATGGTCAACCGTAGCAGCTAACTTTATATAGTTAGCAAATAATCATAGTCTTCTGACAGTCAAAACGTCCCAAAATAATCGATTGACTGACTTAATGATTGTAGTCGAATGTTTTCCATACAAAATTTCAAAAATAATCAATTCAGATAACTATAGTCAATAGTGACTTAGATACTTTTTTTCCATACGGGTTGTTATAATATTACTTTTCCGCACACCGACTGTGTGCAGTAAAGTATTGCAATCAGCCCAAAATTTTGAAATCGCTAAAAATCATTTTTCTATGCGTTTTGGATATAGAAAATCACATAGCAACGGTTTTTTGGCCTTGTTAATGTGGGGAACCCTGTACACACTGTACCCTGTACCCTGTACCCTGTACACTGTACCCTGTACCCTGTATGGTGTACGCAAAAAATCAATAGGTGATTTGTTAGCACGATAACTCTTCTTAGAGAAAAGCAAATCCAAATCTGATTTTTCAAGGTGATTGGGGGTTGCGAGGAATAGGCTGGTTTTGTTTTTCAGCGATATTCGTGCATCGGTGTATCCATAGTGACACCATGATGGTGTACCCATAAGGGGTATGGTATGCAATTTTTTTTTATTCGATAAATCTTTCCCCAGAGACGTAAATTCAAGTTTGAAATTTGTATTGGGGGCTTTTTTGGCACGAGAAACCCGAATTCGACGTTAATTTTGAGATACATTCAAGTTTTAACAGAGTTTCTTTGAAAAAATCGCGAAAAATTGAATTTTTGTATGGGAACCATGCTTTTATGCAACCTTAATGACGTGAAACTTTACACAGGCTATTTTTTGTACAAAAAATTACATTCTGAAAGTTTGAAGAAATTTCAATCAAAATTAGGGGTACCTCCCATACAAAATTTTCGTTTTTGAGAAAATTTTGTATGGGGAGTACCCCTACTTTTAATTGAAAAGTTAATAAGATTCACAAGTTTTTAGGATGATTATAATTATATGTAGTCGGAGTGTTTTGTTGACTCGAAATTGATCGCATTTCTTTCCACAATTAAAACTTGTGGATCTTATTTCTCATCAAAATACATAATTTCCGAGTATCACTTGCGTTGTATATTGACAATGTTTTTGAACGCGACTCGATTTAAGAAGCGCCATCTCTGTCACGCCAGGTTCTCATATATTTTTTTCGGCACAACTACACTTTACGACATCCTCTTTAAATCGATTTTTTTGAGAAATTTCATTTTTTTAAGTTTTGAAAATGATGGGGAACGATGAATTGGGGTTGGGGAAAGCTGATTTAAGGATCAAAAATATTGGACCTGTTCGGGATATGAAAAAAATCAGCCCCTGTAAAAGGTCAATTTTTGGGGACAAAATGGATATTATCAAGTGGTATCACGTCCAGATTTCAAAATTAACTATATAGATCAATAGTAAATGAAGAAAAAATAATTTGGTGAAAAGGGGGGTTGCCCCCCTTGGGTATTAGTGGGGGGGAGTACCCAACTTGTCCAAAACCTCATTGGATCAAAAAGTGATGTATGGCAAAGTTGTTCAGAATGACGAGAGAAATTTTTTAGGGTAGCTGCCCACCCCCTCCCCTCATCCCCTACGAGGTCTGGGATCTTTACCCCTTAATTTTTAATTTTTTCGATCAGAAACTTAAAAATTCAGGTTAAACCTCTCTTAGGTGCTATCATGCATGGGTACAGTTGAAAAATCAAAGGGGGGTTAATTTTGAACATGCCAGCGCGTTAGCGCTGGCGCGTTATGCATTTATTGATGAAAATGTGTGTATTGAATACATTCGTCAGCGCGCGCGCGATGACGACTGATGATTTAATTGAAAAGGCAGCCGATATTCTTTTGACAAATTTGAATAGAAGAATGCCTTTACCGATGGAAGCAATTGCCAGTGCGCTTTTGGACCCTTCAACACAGCATTTAAAAATCATTAATGAATGGTTAAATTTAGAAGGTTTGTTTCTTTTATATCAAAGTTTGATTCACACTTTTGATACTGCGACATGGCATTTGCTAATTATTGTTTCTTTCTTTAATTTTCTTCATAAAGGATATTCAAAGGTTGAAGTCATCGAAACAGTTGCGCAATCAATGAAGATAAATATCCATGAGACTATATCGGAGGCGCCAATTTTGGATGACAGAGACACCACAGTCCAACCCAAATCATTAAGGGAGAAATTACTTGCAAAACACATAAATATGATTCACGGAAGTAGTAATTTAGAACAGGAACTGGAACTATTTGCTCAGAAGAAAGAAATACCAGCATGTGTTTTGAGTTTTTGGCGTCAAAATGAGTCATCATTTCCAAAAATGTCTGCGGTTGCCAAAGTAATTCTGGGAATACCAGCAACAACAGCCAAATCGGAAAGTGCTTTTTCAATTGCTGGTTGCTTAATACAAAGAAGACGGGCATCAATCGAACCAATGCGTGCTGAAAAAACTTTATTTATACATGATAACTATGACTTGTTCAATTTTTAAGAAAATTCATATTTCTTTGTTATCTGTAGTCCACACTCAATTACATTGTAAGCTCATGTAGTAAGATAAATCTAATAAAATATAAAGCGATTTTATGAGAAGATGAAAAATTAAAATAATAATAAACAGAAAACACACAACATTTTTTTGTCAAAGCTAGCATTTTTTGTCAAGTAAACAAGTAACATAATTGCTGCTTTTTTTGGAGCAATGCGAGCAGCAGCAGCAAACTAAATACAGACATACTCGAGCAAGCATTCGTTTTTGTGCTTGCTTCCAGGTCCGTTGACTGCTATTTCTACAAATGATAACGCTTGAGGAGAGTTGTAAACGGTGCAAGTGTCTTTCATATTTGAATTTTAAGTTTGTACATTTTGAAATTTATAACAAAGACATTTATTTGTCTCACTCCAAATTGCCTGATGAATTTTTTTTTAAGTTGTATTATATTTATTTATTATATTTCAAATAAACCACCAAAGAGGAAAAACGCTGTTCGGCGCAGTTATTATTTATTATTAAAAATATGAAGTCTCTGTTTATGTATTCTTTTGGTTCTCGATTATAAACATCATGACAAACATCGAATAATGTATTTATTTAGCTGCGGTCATAGTAAATGAATTCTGTACAAAACAGCAATGAATTCATCATATCTCTATTAAATAATCATTGAATTTATGACCATAAACACGATTCGACAATGAAATTCAATAATTCAGTAGCAAGTTCAATGATATATTTGAGTACTTGTTTTCATTTTATTCATTTTGATTTATAAATGCAAAATAATCGATGATGAGTTGAATTGGTAGTGAGAAGTTGCTGACTTCTTTTTCTGGTATAACTTAGTTTCAGTGTTAGTATTAGTAACCACTGGTAATCACTTCATTTTAAAAAAATATATAAAGTGTCTACTGCGTCTTATAATCAGTGTTTTTCAAAATAAAATGTCTTACATCCGTAAGATGAACTTTTCCGCACTGTGATCCACAACATGCATTTATTACAAATCTTTTACTCAAAGAATTCACGAGAAAACTGAATCTGACATTAGTTTTACGATACAAATAATTTTCGAAGCACTTTTCATACAAAAACTACTAAAAATGGGAATTTTTGTATCGGAGCCATGCCTATATGATATCGTAATCATGTGAAAATTTGCAGAGGTTATTTTTTTCACAAAAAGTTAACACTCCGAAAGTTTGGAGAAATTTCAATGCATATTAGAAATACTTCCCACACAAAATTTCGTTTTTGAGCGTACAAAATTGGAGGTACCACTAATATGCACTGAAATTACATCGAACTCTCAGAGTGTTATTTTTGTGTGATGAAAATAACCTGTGCAAAGTTTCAGCTCATTACGATATCATACAGACATGGCTTCCATACAAAAATCCAATTTTTTTGAAATTTTTGTATGAAAAGTGTGTCGAAAGTTATTTGTATCGCAAAACTAACGTCATATTCGCCCAAAACCCCCCAAAAACCCCCCAATACATATTTTTAAGTGTTTAAGAATACATTAAATATCACTTTTGGAAGAAAAATTGAATTTTTCCCATGGATGCCCATGAACATCACACCAGACATGACACTTTACTCTATCAACCAAAGTCGCTCAAAATCTAATGGTTTCTATTCCTCGGCACCCCCAATCATCCTGTGAAATCATATTTTGAATTACTTTTCTTGTTTGAAAGTTATCGTGTTAACAAATTTTTGCGTACAGCGTACAGGGTATAGGGTACGCACATACATTCGGACATCGAAAAAATGCTAGATTCGTGTTCCCTGGCCCCAAAAACACCCAGTAAACACATTTTTTATGGGTGTTAATTTTTCGATCGATTCCAATACTTTACCTTACACACTAGGTGTGTGCGGAAAAGTAATATTCAAGAGACTACAAAAAATAATCATAATTTAAAACATCGGTGATTTTTCATAATTTTGATAATATATATATTTTTTTAATTCAATTACATTTCATATTGGTAACAAATACATAATAGGTTCTTTTTTTTCTGTTACGTTTAAAAGAAAAACAATCCCAAAAATATTACACATTGAAAGGTTCGAGTAATTTTTCTTTCTCTGAAAATGTTGTCGTTTTCATGAAAAGTGAAAAAAAGGTTCTCTTAAAAAAAACAGTCGTGTAGACGTACGCTCATCTATTCACACATACACATACATAATAAATAATAATCATTGTAGAAATGTCATCAAATCGCCTAATTTGTTAATATATAAGTCCGGAATGAAACGTGTATCGTCGGTATTTTGGCTGTTTTGCCATTGTTGAATGTCGTTCAACTTGTGTACACCGCTGCCAACGAGTAACGTTTGAAATCCACAATTTTTTCCCAAAAGTATGTCCGTCCGACAGTTATCGCCTGCAATGCACACATTGCCATACCGAAGCAGAAGAAAAGAAGTTACCAAATCAATGCGATTTCGATTTTTAATGATTTATTTCAAAGATATAATTACCAATCATAGATAATACCTATCATAATTGTACGTGCCGGTTTGGTGATGCCATCGTTTAAAATAGTTCGGCAAATGGCTGGATTTGGTTTACCTAGATTATTCACTTTACGATACGAACATGCTTCAATGCTTCGCACGACCTAAAATAGAGGGAGAGAGAGAGAGAGAGAGAGAGAAATAGCGTTTAGAAATGTATTGAATTTATCTATGACATTGAATAGGAAGAAGTGACATGTTACCGGAGAAATGCCGGGAATAATCATTTCACTGTCCGACGGGATTCGATCGTCCATGCATGTGGCCAAAAATAGGCAATTTGGATCTTTTAAATAATTGGTCGCTTTTAAGATGTGTGAATAATGAAAATTATGATCGTAATTAACTAAAACCGCACCAACATTTGGATCTAATTTCAACGTATCTATCGTTAGATTTGTATAATGTGTATTAATAAGCTCTTCTTCCGATTCATCGGCACAATAAATATTGTATTGTTTTAATTCATCAATGACAGCACGTCCGATGGTATAAATTTTCTTTTCAAAATTTAAACTCTTCAAATAGGTGACGATGGCCAAAATTGGTGTAATGATTTGCTCTTTTGTTATATTAAAACCACGTTCACGGGCCAATTTCACATAGGTGTCACGCGATTTGGTTGCATTATTTGTCACGAAAAATACACGTTTGCCCATCTCTTGTAATCGATTTAACACCGCACTACTGCCCTCAATCGGTTTATTATTGAGCCATAAAACGCCTGCAATACATGTGGCAAAGAGATTTTGATATTGAGATTTATAAAGTTTTTCATTTCATAGACATAATTACCATCACAATCACTTAGCACCGTATCAAATGAATTCAACCATTCGATGCCATTTTCGACGGGAATGTTATGGAGATTGGTTGCACTTTCCTTAAACATGATCTAAAAATAAATTCGTCTAGATTGTATGCTGATGATGATTTTCATGCAATGTTCCGTATTCTATTCTTGTGTAAGTCAAATGTGTTTTTTTTTTTTGAAGAAGAATGTCTCGGGTCTTTTTACCGCAATTTTTATTTTTTCATTCAAAATTTTCAATGTATACTACGTTTTTGATGAGAATGATAAAGAGAACGTGTAAAAACTGATGTATCACAAACAAAACCAATAATTGTAATAATCAAAACAAAAAACACACACTGTGTCCTCCCCACGATGAAAACAATACTGAATACTGTAATCCTCCGCCTGACATTCGCGACAATGAACGATAAAAATAAAGAGAGAAAGCGAGCGAGAGAGAAAAGTTGCATACATACAGAGATAGAGAAAGTCAAATCGCTGCTCTTTCGATGTGTATGTACGCAATGCTGTTCACAAGAAAGAGAGAACACGAAATAAAGATACATTTTTCAAATGTCAACCTTGACACAATTAACGATGCACGTTGTCCAAATTATATGACATTATGTTTTTTTGGGCGCGTGTATTTGAATTTCATTTTCAATATACTTGTGCAAAAGCCAATTTATCTTATTGCTTATCGATTTTGGAGTCGGCATTTGTCCCGCTTTGTCTCTCTTCATATGACAGCATTCTCCATGCCAAAATACAGAAATGCTTCTATTGAAAAATGCGTCATTTCCTTATCGTTTATTTGATGAACAATTTCTTTAATCAAAAATGTCACGTGAAGCATAGCTGAAAATTTACTTGATCCATGCCATTATTTATTTTTTATAAAAATTTTATTTATTGACTATCTTTTTTTAAAAGATACAAATGAATAGAACAGATTATAAAGTTAACATTGTTAGTCCATGTATGGCAAAAGATCGCCGAGTCTTGGTAGATAAACATCTGGTATGAGTTTTTTATCATCGTCACTTTTGCTCTTTTTCCATCCGTGTACATCGTGTAAATGATGAACGCCTGTACCGACTAAAAGTGTTTGAAAGCCACAATTCGTTCCAAGTAAAATGTCTGTATTGCATCGATCGCCAATCATTAATGTTCGTTTAGGTATGATGCCATTTTCACCGAGTAACGACTCACAAATCGATGGATTCGGTTTGCCCATTATAACTGGTATACGTTCGGCGCATGTTTCAACGGCTTTTACAATTGAACCTGCATAGAGAGAGAGCGCGCGTTTAGGAATCATTCGAATTTCAGAATTACATTGAAAGGAAGCAGAAGCATACCGGTTCCCGGTACAACGCCAATTTTCGATGGAAATCGTTCGTCCGTATTTGTCGCAATAAATATACAATTTGGATCGTTTAAATAATTGGCTGCTTTCATCATTTTTGCAAAGCTAAAATGCTCATCAAAACCGACAATCACCGCACCAACTTCTGGATCCATTTTGAAATTACTCAGCACATCAATGTAATTGGTTTCAATGACGTCCGGACCTTTTTTTTTTGAAGAAAACAATACAAATTGTTAAAATGTTACATTTAATCAGCGTTTTTTCTATGTTTGGACCAGGTTCAGTGTGTTTGATGCCAACATTATCCAATTCTTGTGTGATGCCAGTCGTTCCCACCACATAGACTTTTTTATCAAAATTTCGCTTCTCCAAATATTTTGCTGCAGCATATGATGTTGATATAATGCCCCCTTCGTTGATGTTGAAGCCCAATTTGTGTGCTTTTTCGATAAAACCCTGTAATACACAAAGTCACAACGAAGGGCAGTGATTAGATTTCGATTTATAAACATTTTCATTCAAATGGATGATTACCGATCGGCTTTTTGTGGAATTATTTGTAACAAAATACACCCGTTTACCGAGCTCCTGAAATCGATTTATCACGTCCGGACTTCCATGAATCGCATAGTTTGTCACCCATAAAACACCTGCATAGATAGAGAGAAAGAGAAAGTTTCGAAATTATTTGAGTTTTAATGTTACATTGAAAGAGACATACCATCACAATCTGCCAAAACGGTATCAAATGAATTCAACCATTCTTTGATCGATTCGGCCGGTTGCTTCAAAAGTTCGGTGCAAGTTTTTTTGTACATTTTACAGGAATGGATTTGACGACGTCTAATTATAGAATTGAAAAAAAATCCAATTAATTAATATGCACTGCGGTGGTCACCACAATTACATTTTCTTTCATCAATTATTCAATTAATTTGAATTGAAATAAATGGAAAAACGAAATATGATTTCACAATAATTCCAGTTATTAAATTACTTATTCAAAGAGTGAATTACATAAGATTCATGCTAAATTGTTTATTACACTGTTTTTTTTTCTATGGATATAGATGTCCAATGATTGACTGATTCAATCAAATTAATTTTAATTGATCTTTGTTTGTGATGCAAATTGCCCACAAAAAGTGATAATCAAACGATATCGCAGTTACTGCACTGTGAACTTGAAAACACTAACACAAGTGAACTTACCTCTTTTTTACGCTCAGTATATTTAACCGAATGACATTGAATATCATAACTAAGCGAATGGCTACGTTCAATGGCACACATAAAACCAATCAATTCGTCTAATCGCCATTTCAATATTTGATGAAATTTGAACAAAAAATGTTACTAGATTAGAATACAGGAATTATTATTTTAAAAAAAATACGTTTGGCGTGAAAATATTTTGTAATTCCTATTTTTTCAAATGGCTTCATCTTAATTAAAAGTAGGATGGGTCGATTTCAAATTTCAAAAAATCGTTTATACCCATACGTCCTCAAGGAAAAAATTTAAGGGGGGGTAATTGAAAAAAATCGAGGGGGGTAAGCAAAAAAGTGAAGTGTATTTTGCGAAAAATGTACTTTTTTCGTTTTTTTTTTTTTTGCTCCTCACTTTTTCGGCGAAAATCCCTAGCAAATTTAAAGAATTTTTCTTACATTGAAAACAAAAGTGAGGAGCAAAAAAAAAAGGTCCTTACTTTTTTGGCGAAATTCCCTAGCAAATTGAAAGAATTCTTTGAAAATTTTGAAGGGGTAATAATTATTATCACCCATCACATTTGAAAAAATTCAACTGAGTCGTTAAAATTCACATGCCGAATTCGCTGTGTTGTATAGAAATGTACAATATATTTACAATTCAAATCTGTTATTAGATTTGAAATATTTCAGTAAGGAAAAAAAATTCACCCATCCAAGCAGAGGGCTAAGACCACAATATTACTCTCGAAACTATAGAAGTCATAAAATAAAAAAAATTCGGTGAACCGTAATAGAATAAGAGTTCATTTATTCGAAATTTTATAATAAAATAAAAAAATAAATAATTATTCAAGAAATTTTTCGAATCGACAAAAATCATTAGAATTGAATTGTGAACTTGAAGTAATATTTCCGATATTTGGGTCACATTAACTTTGATACCTATTTGTGGTGGATCACACAGTAAATCTTAACAACAATCGATCGACCTCCATTCGGTGAAGCTAAGAACCATTCATGTTCTCTATTTAGAAGAAAAAACATCCATTTGAGGATATTTAGTTGAGTTTGTTTTTATTTTTTCCGACATTTTTGTTTCAAATATACGCCGGCCACTGTGTTTATCAGATCTGACTTGTAATAGTTAAACAATGTAATTTTTCTTAAATTTAATGTTATTTTGGTATATTTTTGTTCATGAAATGTGAATGATTATTGTGGGAGAATGAGTGCTATGCATCTTCTTTCCAATCGGTTTTGCAAGCTGGGCACTTTTTCTTTTTTGCCACATAATTGTTGAAACATTTCTTGTCCAGCACTGCATCGCATTGGTCATTCGGACAGAATTTCGGCTGTAAAATGAAACGACACGGAAAATTATTCGATCTAAAGGCATATATTTTAAATGGCATTCTTTATTTTTATACCTGAAGCACAAGTCCATTGCAAAGAAAACAGCATTGTATAAAATCACCAAATTTCGTTCGATATGTATCACGAAATTCACCAATAGCCCTTGGGCCCAATGTGATTATATCGCCGGTTGCCATGAAATAGCCGATATTCTCCCATTCGTCCAACAATTCTTCGGCCCGTTGTTTGGTGATTTTTTTCGATGTTGCCTGTGACTGAGTGGCTTGCGATGATGTCGAACACAATTGAATTGCCGACATTATTGTGATGGAATGTGTATCGCTCATCAAAATTTTTTCCATGATACTCTTCATGAAATTGCACTCGACTTCATTGGCGATTGGTGATGGACTGAAGTAAAATATTTGTTTATATATAAAAGCACAAAAATGTAAACAAAGTACAAAATATTTAACGCTCTGAACAACACAGTTCGACAAAGAAAATTCCACGGAATGCTTTTCACATATCTTGAAACATATGAAATACCCGGCATTTTAAGAACGAAAAAAAATACAGTTGATATTTGAGTTATGTCTATGTCTTATCGTCGGTTTCTTGAAATTTGTGGTGCCAGACTGTGTCGTCACATTGAAACTTACCCAATTGTTGCGAATGTGTTACAAAAGATCAAAAACTCCACGCATACGTCATCCCATTCATAGTGTACAAAATTTAGCCGTTGATCAATTTCACGTTCAATCAATTTGGCATTGATTTCGTCGACCATTTTTCGAACGGCCGCATCCTCATCATTTGCCGCATTTTCATCGTTGAAATCTATTTTTTAGAGAAAAAAAAGCAAATCGTTAAAATGTTATAGAAAAATATTTGTGTTCCCTTTCGGTCGACGTACATTTAGTTTTTACCGCTTTCATGATATCCAAATACTGATTTGGAGTCATCACACTGAATCGGGCACAGGCCTGCAAAAAGGCTTGATGACCCACTGTAAAATTATCGACCATGATATTGTGTCCAACTGCAAAAATAATCTGAAGAAAAATGGTAATTTTTCGCCGGTTTCAAGGGGAAAATGATGACCGATGGAATTCAAATAGTTTGTGCCGAACAGCAAAATGAAACCGAATTGTTGTCGAAACGTCAAAAGTGAGCGCCAATGTATTTGTGACAGGTGTGTGTTAGTGTTTGTATGGAATGTTCATGACATAACCTCAATTAAAAAGCATAAATAAACACGAACCGTGTTATCAGAAGAAGATGAATATTTTACAGCGTTTACCAAAACTCTCATCACTTCACGTTCATCATCATTTACGTGTGATCAGTTGTAATGAAATCGCATCGAGTGCAGCGTATTCAATTTGTTGTACTTCCACAGTGTTGTATCGGTCAACGCTAATAAGTCGTGAATCAGTGTATTTTATGCCAAAACGTCATAAATCATTTACCGAAACATTCGCTGACATTTATGCGACCGTTTCGCACAGTACAACGGTGTCCTATTTCCAAAATGCATTGGTATCGTTTCACGATTTAACCGGTCTACCATGGTGGGCAACAATTATTGTTTATACATTTGGATTGCGGTTGATCACATTTCCATTGGCTGTATACGCACAACAGATAAAAGTGCGACTACATAATATCTTACAAAACGAATTGCCGGCAATGAACGACGATCTGAAACGTGAGGTGGCCGTCTACAAAAAGAAATACAATTTGGGTGAAAAAGATTCATTTTTTCTCTACAAACGATCATTTAATAAACAATATCGATCGATGATCGAACGTGATAATTGTCATCCGTTGAAAACGACCGTCTTGTTTTGGTTTCAAATTCCAATTTGGATTTGTCATTCGATTGCCATACGAAATATATTGACAATGCAACCGGATCCAAATTCGATCAGCGCAATGGCAATATACACCCAAATGACCGTCGGCGGATTTGGATGGATACCAAATTTAATTGAATCGGATGCATCGTACATACTGCCGGTACTGTGGGCCATCATAAATCTAACCAACATTGAATTGGGCGCACTTGAAAAAGGTGGATCGTCTAGTAAATTTATGACTGTGATGACAAATGTATTTCGTGGAATTACAATTGCTGTTATACCAATTGCAGCATCGGTTCCATCGTGTCTTACGTTGTATTGGTGCACATCATCAATGTGTGCACTCGGCCAAAATCTACTGCTACTTTCGCCGACAGTAAAACGAACAGTCGGCATACCATTGAACACACAATATCATATGGATCATCCGTATCAGACCATTGTACATCGATTCGTCAAACAAATGGAACGACGGAAAAATTGGTGCACAGCATTTATTAAATCGAAATAAGAATTTAAATTCAATGAATTTTTGAGAGACTAGTCAGTGTGATAAATAAATGATTCTGTACACATTTCTTTTCAATTTTTTTTTTATTCAAATCATACGTACAAGATTTTTAATTAGTTTTTTTTTTTGCTCGAAAAAAATACAGCAGATATCGATCGAATTTTTTGGATTTGAAAACATTTCATTAATACATCTTTATGTCGTTGTATCATGTTAACTGAAACATTTTAACTGACCGTGGTCAATGGTCATGACCGATCAAAGCCGAGTTAAAAAATTCAAGATAGATAAAAAATCGCGGACCTCGTTTTCATTATCGGTTTTATACAAACATCGAGTCTGGCTCCCAATTGAAGTCGAACACTTCGTAAAATTGGTGTCATCCTAAAAACTACTTTGTACAAAATGTATTGCATCAATTGTTGACATCAAAAGAACTGATTGAATTCGCTTTGAATTGAAAGACGTTCATAATTCAAGGTGGTCATCTTTGCCTCACGGAATGGTTCAAAAATCATCTTGTTTATAGTTTTTTCAACACAATAGCCATGTGTTTGTAAATTATCTCGCATCTGTTGAAAATCATTTCGGAGTCTCTCGTCTTGGCAAGATTCGTCAAAGACTTGTCCAGCCATTTCAATCTAAAAAAAGACAATAATTCTTCAATTTTGTTTCGTCTGAATGAATTTTTAACAAATTTTGAATTTTAATCTCACCGCTTCATTTGAAATCACATCAGTTTTTGGTGTTTTATTATTGTCATAAATCAGTAATATAGACCGTAGAAATTGCAATACATCCACAAATTTATGCATTTTTAAAAATGCAAGCAAACGTAAGCTAATGATTGCCTCGTGCGCCGATGGCCAGAGTGTCGACAGAAATTGATTTGTCAAATGTGGAGCATTTTGATTTAAGGCCAATGCTGACAAAAATATACAATGGGCTTGCGTTATTTTCTTATCATATTGTTCATTCAATGATTGTGCATATTTAAAAGACTCTTCGGTGTTCTGCTGGTAACAAACAGCAAATATTAACACATATATACTTCGTGTGATTATCTGCTGTTTCGAATCTAGTTGCTTTCTCAATTCTTCAAAATGTTTTAATAATTCTGTGTATTCGCTATGCTTGTATAGTAGGTCAAAAAATATTAAATGTGTTTGTTTACTTCCAAAGAATTTATCACGAAAATTCGCATCATTGTAAAACTGAAAGAGAGAGAGAGAGAGACATTAAAAAATATTCACCTTTGCAACAACAAAAATAGAGCGGATCTGAATATCGCCATTTTCAAAGCAGTATTTGATGAAAAATTTGAACCACACCACAGCTCTGAGAAAAACTTATGTAATAAATCACCTTTATCGCCAGCTGATCTTTTTTAAAGTGATAAAGCGTTTTCATGACAATTCGTCCAATTGCATATTTCCGTAGATTTTCCGTTTGAGCACTTTTGAGTTTATTCAATGCTTGTTCCAGCAACCGAAAATCATCATCGGTATCATCAATCAAATGCATAAATTCGGTTAATTGATTGACAATTTGGCTCGATGGAATCGCCGGCATTTTAATTATATTCTTCAACTTAGCCTTTTTCAATTTTATCGAATCGTCCTGCAGTGACATTCTTATATGTTGTCGATCTTTTAAATATTTATCCACCGAGAGTTGTTGGGCTGTGTAAATTTTTCGAAGTACCACCGAATCTGTTTAAGCAAAATCAAAAGGGCATTAATTTGTGATATTTTTTTAATATTTGCGCCAAAAATAGATAAATCATACGTTCAGTATGCCGGAAAGCACTTAAAATCGGTGGTCGAATTAAAGACGGCAAGATGTTCATGATATTTTCTTGAATCTACAAGTAATAACAATACTCACAGCTGTACAAAATATAAATCAAACTGAAAAACGAAATGTCAAAATTGACGGTTCGCCAATTGACTGAGACAGAAAAACACATACACGCATGTATGTGTTACACTCAATTAAATATGTATGAATTCAAGCCGAATTTTTTCTTCAAAATATTTGTTTTTTTTTTTCAATTTTTTTTCCACAGATTTTTTTTACTCAGAAAAAATAAAATATCTTCATTGTTTTTCAGCATTTCATATTTTATTATTAAAATAATATATTTTTTTGTTCTCTTTGTCTAAGTTATGCACAAATGTAAATTGTATTACAATATATGAAATGTTTATTCAGTAAAAAAATTGAACGATATTGGTAAAATTGTATTTGATGTAGTGATTTAATAGTATTTAAAACGGTTGATTGGGACGGCCACCCCTTATGTGCATGGTATTCACGTGTTGCATCCTCAATAAATTTTCGGCTAAATTATTACCACCCACCGGCAATGAATTGTTCACAAACATAGGATTTTCAGTGTGATGAATTTGTGGTGGTCGTGGTGGGTAAGGCGCATTCGGACGTGGCTGGTGATGGTGGTACTGCCGTTGGGATGGTATATTTTGATGTGATCGTTTTCGTGGATGTATTCGATCATTTCGATGAATTGATTGTGGCATTTGATATGGTTCACGACGCGATGGTGGTTCATGTCGTTTAATATCTTTTTTCATAACACGTACAAAATAGTTTCCCGTACCGTCTGGTATAAGATTACGTCGCTGTACATTCACACAGCCAACTAATTGAACCTGTTTTTGTTCTGATGCTTCAAACGATGTATTCGAACCAGTTGATGTTCTCTGATTTTGTGCTATATTTCTTTCATCGATCCAATAGCCGCGATGCGTTTGCGTCCCTTTTTCCGTTTCAGTGTCTATTGCTAACGACGCTATTTTTGGAATTTTTACTCCATTGTCATTTAAACACTTCAATTTATCAATATAGTTATCACGCTCCATTTTATGACCACGAGCCAATTCGAATGCTGAAATTGAAGATAAATTTGGAAAATCTATGGTGAAATTCAAGCCAAATATTTTAAATGTTTATTTCAAAATAGAGGAAATTAAATGATTGTTCTAAAAAATAAATAAAACCAAAATCTGTATTTTTATTGAAGAAAATCTACAACATCAAAAACTAAAGGAAATATCGAAAACATAGCTCCTGAAATTAACCGTCCAAGAAGGTTTAATTAAAAAAAAAATCCGAAAAAAAAACTGGGAGATAAATTGGTTTCAGAAAATTGAAGACCCAATATTCTTATTTTAAAAAGACTCCTCATTTTCTAAAACCTCATAGAGTAAAACCTCTCAGAAAAAGTAAAGACTAAAAATCAATTTCATTTCGTTCTTGGGAGAACAGCGGTCAGGAACTATGCTCGAAAATGATTAATTTAAACATTGCAAGTGTTTAACATAATTTTCTTTTTCGAATTTATGACCGCGTGCCGACCAAATGGACTAAAATTTAATTTGATTCACAAATTAAAATGCAAACAAAAATGAAAAAATGAAGAAGAATTCAAAGAGATATAAATCCATACCGGCAATGGCTTCGAGTGGTTGAATTTTCAGCGCCTCGATCATGTAACGACATATCAGAAATCCACTACGATTCAGTCCATGCGTACAATGCACTCCAATTAATTTATCTGTGTGAATAAAAAAAAAATCAGTTTTTACGTATTCGATGGAATTCAAATGTTAAATCATCTCAACCATTTGGATTGTTTGCCAAAAAATGGTTTACTGCATTTTTAAATCTGTGAGAAATAAAAAAAACATTTATTTAAAAAGAAAATTTTGATTAAAAATGAGAAATTCAAAATACTAACTGGATATAGCATTCATTTTTAGGCACTACTTGACCTACTACTGGTATTTTTTCATATTTAATGCCAAACTTCGAAAATTCCTGAAAATAAAATAGAAAAATGCATGAAATCGGTTTGGAAGACAATGACTCGAAATAATAAGGAAACATACGTCTGGATGGTAGTATTTTGTGGTGTTCGTAAGATCGATAATAAGTCCAAGATTTGGGATTAGTTCCACAAGTAATTTTGGATATAGTCTAAAAGTTGAACAATAAATTCATTAGATGATATAAGCCTGGTAATCAATGGATAATTAACAATTGACAATATATAATTCCTCATTTAGAATTTAATGAAAGAGAAAAAGGAGAAGCACTTTTTGTACACAAACTGCTTATCTCTCTCTCTCTCTATCTCTTACTGTCCGATGTTTTGAAATGTATTCGACTGGATTTTTGTGAAAATTAAACTTTAAAGTAATTGGATTGAATCGACTGACGTGTGAATTGAATCTGTGATAATGATGATTGATTGTAATAAGAATAACTACTAGATATAAGTTCTAAAACCCGGTCAAAATGTTCCAAATTAGTTAGCCATTCAGTTAGTCATACTCACTGTTTTTCTTCATCCACATTGCATGCTCTGTTGACTCCCTGTGCCGACAGGAGAGTTTATGAAAGTTTGAAGGAAAAAAAGATTAGCGAAAATTCCAAATGTTGTATAAAAAGTGTCACATCGACTTATGTTTATACCTCTTTAAGCGGCACTTTAAATGCAATGAAACGTGTTCCATGAACTTTATTACCGACCCGATTATAATCGAGCCATCTGCAAATCGAATTAAAAATTATATGATACACATCTGTTCTTCTATGTAAAAATGATGAACGGGAAAAAAAATATAATTCAATCGAAATGCATCCATACCCTTTTGGTAGTCCCATGTTGTTGCACTTTGTTTATTTTAAGTGTTACAAATGTTCGATGGAATTTCACAATTGTGTGTAAAAAAAAAGGCAGAATGGTAAATAATTAAGTCACGACAATATGCACATACTATGGCCAATACACACGTTTCTATTATGACAGTTGAAATGTCAGTAGCCGCGATGTGTATGTGTGAGTGTGAGTGCAGTGTTGCCTATGTCTGTGTGAAAAGTATTCAAGTTGAAATGTGTACGTTTCATTCGGAGATGCGATTAAACGCGTTCGTTTGGCGAATCGTTTGTTTCAATCAATGTGAAACCTGTCAAATAACTAAAGCGTTTAACTGCAGAGTGTGACAATCGGCGAAAACAAATTACATTTCGATTCAGAAATATCACTATTACCTACGACCAATTTTTTTTTTAAATTTATAAACAAAACGAAATTGTACAACATTCGAAACGGTTATTTTTCTTTCATTTATTTTGAGATTTATTTTTATTTTCATTTCGGTGGCATTTGCAAATGTGTATGAACAAGATAATTCGATGCACAAAGCTCGATTTTACACATTACAATTCACTTAATTTATTCGTTGTTTAGTTTTATGTTCGAAAAGCAATAAACAATACGAAACGCAATGTAAGTAGAATACATATAAACATTCTCTCTGGCGTTCGCTCCGTTTGTTTACTGTGATTTACTGGATCAGATGATTTATGGGAGAATGTTGTTTTCATTTTCGATTTTTTTTCTGGCATTTTGTGGTTGTTTACAATAATTCTTGATTTTTCTTCTCTTCTTCACCAAGCATGAAACCGAGTACACAGACAGCAGCCACCACAAAGTCCATATCATCATCATCATCACCGTCATCGAAGTCAAAGACTAAGAAATCATCGTCATCGTCATCGAGCAGCAGCAGCAGCAGTATCGGCAACACCAATCAACACTCATCCAGTACACACACATTAACCGCACAACAACAGACCAGCACCGTTCAATCAAATCCAAATCATTTAAGTAACAGTAACGATCATGCATCATCTAGTTCATCGTCGAGCCGAGATAAGAATAAGTGAGTTTGTTTCGAACGAAAAAATAGTGGATCCTTCGGTAGGAAATATGTTGAAAATTCATCAAATTCACGTGATTCGACATTTTTCACTGAAATATTCCATTCGAAATTGTTTTTCAATTTTTTCTTTGGTGTTCAAAGGATGTTTTATCGAAAATAATTGGTTTTTACACATTTTCCTTTTTTTTCTTTTTTTCTTATTCGCAGTCAACGAACCTATATTGGAATCAATGCAAACAGTGTAAAATGCATATGGGAGCAGAACAATAAAGGTGATATTGATTTGAATCCGGACATCTTACCAATACTCGCCGAAGATGCTAGCTACAAATTATGGGAAACAGTAAACAATTTAAAAACATTTGCCCGACATTCGGGTGGAAAATTAACAACAAGCATTGTAAATGAATTGCTCAAAGACTGTAATGTGCCGCCCATCATTGGTGCACATTCAACGGCACGTGAATGGAAGCGTTTAGATTGCGATGGTACGTTCTATTATCAGGCAGACGATGTGATCGATTTACGTGAAGAGTATTTACGTGATGTGACACTTCAGCAAACCGGTCCATTAACATTAGAAGCAAACTGGGTGTCGAATCAACGGAATTTTCGTGATCTAACCAAATTATGGCAAAGTATAATACTGGCAATTGTGTTGGGCGATGATGCAGCCTTCCAATATACATTGCATACAACATTGATAAATCCATTTATCGGTTGCATTCTACCGCATTTGGTACAAAAAACAATTGAATATTTGGCCTTTGGTTGTACAGACGATACACTTGATCGATTGTTACGCTTTCTTAAGGCGCTTGTACAAAATTATCATAGTCGTGATGTGGCCAACAATGAGGAATATTTTAATTTGTGTAATTTATTTGTGTGTCTATTGGTCGGTCAAATGGATATGAAATCGAAATTAGCGTACATTCGAATGGAGCGCGCAAAACAGGAAAAATTGGAAAAACAACGCAACGAAAAAGAAGGAAAAATGCCAGCCAAACCGAGCGTTTCACCGTTGGTGAAAAATATCAAAACGGAATTTATGGGCACAACAAAAGATACACGAAATTGTGGCGGCGGTGGCGGCGTAGGCGTTGGCAGTAGCAGCGGCAGTGTTGGTGGTGGTGATGCTAGCGCCAGCACTGAAGGTGTTGAAAGTAGCGTGACCGTTGCTGATAGTGGTGAAGTAGCCGCCGATTCAGATAAAGTGATAATCAAAGATGAGTCCGATTATTCGAATGATGTGTACTCAAATTATGTGGTAAATCCGGTGGCAATAAGCATTAAAACCGAAACACCTGACGATCAACGATTTTTTGATTCCGATTCAAATATGAAATTTGATGATGGTAATATGTACAACACAGATTTTCACGATGAACCAATGTTTGATGAAAGTGGAAAAAATGCGACTGAAATAAAAACCGAAACGACCGAAAATTTATTGCGCGACGATAATAAATGTGCGAGCACAATAAATGGTGAAAATTTGCATGGCTATTGTAATGAGGTATTTTCACCGTTTGTCACCGGTGCGTGTAACGATCGATTTGTCGATGAGGTATGCAAATTAATTGGCTATTTGTCCGGTAAATGGGGTTATTTTGAACATGAAATCACATATTTGCTGGCGAAACGTTTGGAGATTTTCTTTTTCGATATGCGCATCGACTGGTCAACAAATGAATTTAAATGGCTGGCCCGTGTTATACAAGCGCTTAGCGCACTCGGTGAAACTGCATTTCGTGAATTAACACTTTACTTCGAACACATACCATACGAACATTTGCCCGAATGGTTGATACCGTATTTTAGTTATGGTGCCATTTATATTCGAGGCCGAAAAGATTTTTATTTCTATGAATATATGCAAGAGGTGTGCGGTGATTCGTTGATACCATTTTTAGTTTACCATCCAAAGTATGTGTGTAAATTGCAAGCACGTGCTGTGGCCAAAAAACAACAATCAACACAATCGCCGTTGAAAATTTGCTCAAAATCAATGATTAAATTTATTGAACGCAAAGATTTACCGAAAAAATGTGACAAACCATCATCATCATCGTCGTCGTCGACGTCATCATCAACAACATTATCACCAACATCTGTTGACACCGCATTTCCAAAACGAACAAAAAATATTCGCAAAATGGCACCGTCATCACGACGATTTGGTTTTAAATTTGCTGGCTGTTGTCCGGTTATGGCTAAAACAACCATTAAACTTAGCACTGAACAACAATTCATTCAGTCATTTGAATTATGTAACAAATTGAATAAGCTTATTGTAATTTGTAGACGAAAATTGTTAAAACCGATTTACATAAATCATAAGACAAATTTAAATCACTTAACCGATATCAGGCAGTACAATATTTAGAATTAGACAAAATCAACACACAAACACACACACACTTGCAAATACAATTCAATGCAAATAAAAAAAATAAAGATGAGAAAACAAACAAAAACGAAATCAAAATAGAGAAAAGTCGAGCAAAAGATGAAGAACACATTTGAAGAATAAAATATTTCAACAATTTTAACAGAGAAAAAAAATTGCGTTTATTTTTCATTGAAAAATATCCTTGACAAATGACATTTTCCATTCAACATTTGAGTAAGATAAAATGTCTTACATCCGTAAGATGAACTTTTCCGCACTGTGATCCACAACATTCATTTATTACGTATCTTTTACCGTAAATATGAATTCATGAGAAAACTGAATCTGAGTTTTGCGATACAAATAATTTCTGATACATTTTTCAATGCCTGTATGATATCGTCATGACATGAAACTTTGCACAGGGTATTTTTTTCACACAAACAAACCATTCTGAAAGTTTCCACACAAAATTTTCGTTTTCGAGAAAAAAATCCAAAATTTTGTTCGGGAGGTACCCCTAATATGCATTGAAATTACATCAAACTTTTAGAATGTTATTTTTGTGTGATGGCCAATACACATTTTTGAGTGTTTATGAATACATTAACCCTCTAATGCATTAATTTTTTTTCGACATGAGACTTATTTTTCTATGATTGTTTTGGTTTATAATTCCTTAAAAAAATAATCGAAATTCAAAAAATCGCATGGTTTTCTCAAAAAATGCTATTGACAAAATTCGAGAACAATCAAAACCATTGTTTAAACTGCAGTAAAACTGCTATAAACAAAGAAAATGATAATTTTTTTTGTCAAATTTCTGTTTTCGAGTACAACCGTGTTTATAATTAAATAACCAATTTACATCCAGTTGTCAAATGACCGGAAAATGAAAGCCTGAACCCTACTGAATGTATTTTAATTCATAAATAAAATCTTTTTTTTAATTATATATTTTAGACAATAATTTATACACCATGCTTAAAGGCGGGGCTATGCACTAGAGGGTTAAATACGACTTTTGGAAGAAAAATTGAATTTTTCCCATGGATGGCCATGGGCATCACACCAGACATGGCACTTTACTCTATAAACCAAAGTCGCTCAAAATCTAATGGTTTCTATTCCTCGGGATCCCCAATCATTCTACGAAGTCAGATTTTGAATTACTTTTCTTGTTTAAAAGTTTACGTGTTAAAAAAAATTTGCGTACAGGGTACAGCGTACAGGGTACCACGCACATACATTCGGACATCGAAAAAACGACTGATTCGTGTTTCCTGGCTCCTAAAACACCCAGAAAACATGTTTTTTGAGGGTGTTAATTTTTCGACCGATTCCAATACTTTACCTTACACACTAGGTGTGTGCGGAAAAGTAAAACTTACCAAATCTACCTACTTATGTCGAACAAAAAAAATGACTGATCCAAAATGGAGATTTAAAAAAATTGACTTAAAATCGTAGCTTTATAAATGGCTTAAAATCTAAGCGTTTGAATGTATTCTATTACTCGCTTGATCGCTTTTCCATTGCAGTGGTTCCGATTCAGCCATATCTCCTTCGTGCTGCTGTTGCTTGTTCGTGACCGATTCGTTGGCACTATTGTCGATTTGTGCTTGTTTTTGTGAATGTTTCAGGTGATGTGTACAATTTTTGGCGGGTCGAAGTAAAATATGCGCAAAACACGTAACAAGTGCACCAATAGCAAAAATTTGAAAAGATCGTTTACCACCAATTCGTTTGAACATTTGACCTATAATATAAAAAGTAAGACTTATAATATAATAAGTAAGGTATACGACAGACCAATTTTTTTAACCTCCAATCAACGATCCAATTGAGAATCCTAAGCCATCATCGACCCCCGCCACTAAACCCTGGACCGTCGTCCCTGTGCCTTGGGGGGCTACTTCGTTAGAATAACCAACAATACACGTATAGCATAAGGCGTACGAAAGACCTTTTATAAGTAAGACATAAGGCATAAGTAAGACATAAATTAATAAGTAAGTCATAAGGCATATGCACCTTGCATAAAGAATTCAATTGGAACTAGAAACCATGGATTCGGTATCACTGAAATCAATCCGAATCGTATAAAGTACATAAAAAAGCATAAACTCAAACAATGCACATAGCCAATGCGTTTCAAAATTTTGCCCGATACTAAAAATATTGGTATTTCACCGCCAAGACACTCGGCAGCAACAACAAGGGCTTCAATTAATTTGATTGATTCCATATAACCGGTGGATTGTGCTAATTCTTCTAAATACCAAAACATATAGTAAATGATGAACGAATCAAGAATTCCAGCCAATGTTGCAAAGCATAAAAACATCAAAATCGCTTTTTGTCGCAGTAAATCGCCGACTTTACTCGCAATCGTATCACCTTCGTTTCTGAAATTTGGCAATTTTAACCATTTTATACTGATCACATCGCAGACACCAAAGATGACCATGACAAATAATGCTGGCGTTATAGCCTTCACGGCATCGGCCGAATCAAGACCGAATCTGTGCACAACAATACCAGCTATTAATGCAGTCACACCAAAACCAATGGTGCCCCAAACACGCTGGGCCCCGTACCGCATCGTCTTATCGCCCAACATATCAAAACAAATCGCATCACTCACCGAATTTGCTACATTGAAACCAATGGTGCCGATGCACATTAAGATAACAAATGACCAAAACGTTGTGGTTCGATAGAAACAATTTCCGAGCGATTGATTTTTAATTGGCACACAAATGACGGATTGACATGTTTTATTTATTTGAAATGCATCCACATCGCTCAATGCGTCCATACACAAACGCAATATTGATTCGCCACTATTTGCATTTTTTTCACGAACAAATCCAATTTGTGAGACATTTTTCGCACAATCCATCGAACAATTCATCATTTTATACTCTATCAAACATAAATCGGCATTTTTTATCTAAAAGAGAAAATAATATACATATTGATGAAAAATTGAAGCGAAATGTTAAATTAGATTTGTTTGAGCACTTCTACCGTCAATGCTATATCGCACATGCCATCTATTTCAGAGAAATTATACGATGATTGCTTTGGAATCTTTTGCGCTGGAACGATTGGCACCAAATAAAAGCCAGCATAACACAGTATCATAATCACCGTTATTGACATAAATATCGTCTTTCGAATACTCTGAAACCGATTTCGAATTTTTCAACATGATTTTTTTTTCGTTGAATTCAGATAAATTTTGGAAAAAATATTACGGGAAAAAAATCACAGAGATATCCAACAGCTGGTTTGGCGAGAACGTATAAAATTGGTAAAAATAATGTGATAAATCCCATAATATCGGGTGAGACTCCAAGTTCTTTGCCGAACACATTGATTTGAGGTAATATTGGGCCCATTGCTAAAAATAATTTAAAAAAATGCATTGCACCGAATATTTTATGGTAAAAAGAAAACACGAAGATTATCCAATTCAACTTACCTGCCATCATAAAAAAGTAATGTGCCTTGATGGGCAATAGTTTTTTGTTAATTTGGCCCATGTTTTGTTTTTTCGTTTCCACAAAAAAAACGAATGATCAAACTCGAGTGTGTTATGATGATGTTTGCAACAGCTGCCACATCGAATGAATGGGAGCAATAAAAAGGAAAACAGAATAACCAAAGTGCTATTATCTTGAAAAGTGGACATTTGCTTATCGCGTTTTTATCTTGTCTGGATGATTATTGAAGTAGTTCTCAGCGGCGACAGCGACAGCGACAGCGGCAGCGGTGTGCAATCAGTTTGCGAACTATTTTCTAATAAATGTTAATAATTATGGCTTTCAAAAAAACCAGTCTTACGCGATTATTTGCAAATAACACAAAAAATCATCTTATCAGATGTGCCGCTTCGAATAATAGTTTTGAAAGAATTTAAATTTTACCGGCCCAAAATGTAACCAATTGCCACAACACTTTGATAACAGCGTGAAGTGAGTGACGCCAAAAAAAATTGCCAAATTATATAAAAATAGAAAGCTAAAAAATTCAAGGCTCAACACAAGACGAATCGGTTTACAACAACAAACAGAAACAAAACAAAGCGTGTATGAGTGCGCGTGTTTTGCATAAGCAACAGCTGAGTGTCATTTAAAACACAGACCGAAAAAAGGTGCTTGCAACGAATGGAATGCATGCTATGATACAGACATTGACATTTCTTTGTTTGTGTACCCGATAAACATAATACACGAGTCATCGAACGGTTTTATAAACAAAATACGATGTTTCTCTCACTCTCTATCGCCGATGCTTGGTTCCTTGGTTTTTCGTGTATTTTTATTTACAGTGACGCGTTCATTCTTCTTATTTCATACTATCAATTGAATGAACGAACGACACACACTTATCGTCGAATTTAACAATTTTTAATGGCATTATAAACAAGATATATCAATTGCTTTATATTCACTAAAATTGAAGCGTTTTCGAAGATTTCTGACAAAATCAAGTGGAAACATTGTATCGATTTATTGGTTTAGATCGTTAATTGTTGCTCAAGTGATTTTTATATGAATTTAATTAGTGCCCTAAGTACTTGGAATGAAGTTCGACAAATTCATTCTAAATGCAACACGCGAATAACTTATTTTATTGACTATATCTTTGAAATGAACACTGATTCATTTGAAGATTCCGATATAAGCGTCATAATTTTAACGAATGAATTGTTTTATCGAATGGTGTGACATTTTTTATGTTTACGTCAATGTTACCTTTTTCACACCACAAAGAAAAACACTAAATGCTAGAAAATAAAGTTGCGATTCTAAATTGTCGGATACGACTTTTGTTGTTTACATTTCACTAATTTAAACACTGATCTGGTGTAAGTCGACACCACCCACACATTTTCATAGTTTCATACGCAAACCTTTCGAATGTTGCCTGTATATGTGATACACAATTTAAATTGAGTCGAATTTTTTTTTAAATCGAGATTACTTCTATCGCTTCTTATTACTTACTTCTTAATTTGACTTTTAGCAACATGAAACTCTTATCTATAGTGAAAAGATCGATTCAAGCAAGCTCGTTTTAAATGGTTCACTCAATTAGTTTGATGCGATGTGAGCAATTATAGTATATTTCAGCTGTAGAATATTATTTGCACCAGACGGTGATACATATACCTTAATCAAACTTCTTCTACTCGGAATCAACTCGGAGAGTCCAATGCGTTTTAAGATAAGAAGAAAGAAGAAATAAATAAAGAGTTTTTTGCAAATAAACATTAATTCAAGAATTTCGTTCTTTATTTTCGTGTGTCATGCATGATTTGTGTCGAATAACAACATTACACGTGAACAATTTCATTACAGTTCAACTGATTTTCGTTTCATACAGAACACTAATATTCCACTTTATCATCGTTGTTATTATTGTAGCCTTCTGTTAGTACATCCATTACTTCCTCATGATCTGAAACAAATGAATTTTACTCAATTTTTTGAACTATTCTTAGCAACATTTTGCATAAAAATTACTTTTAGACTCAGCCCATTCCAGTGCGGTCCGACCCCACAGCCAAGAATCTCTGATGCTTGGATCCGCTCCATGGTTAATGAGTAGTTTTGCGATTTTATAACGATCTACAACATGAATAAATGTAATCAAATTCAATTCAGGGTGTCAAAAAAACACTTTTTGTTTTAAAAATTACTATTGTGTGCTGCAATATGTAGCGGTGTATACCCTATTTGGATTTTCGCATTCACGTCTGCGCCTTTTTCGATAAGCATTTTGGTAATTTCTTTACAATCTGACAAAAGTAATCAATAAAAATCCGTATGAATCATATGTTATTGCTTCAAATTCTAAATATCTTGGTTACTGTTGTATGTAGCATAATGGATCGGACGCCACATCCATTGACCCGAGTAGTCGTGAACACTGGTTCCATTTACAATTAACATGTTGGCCACCGCGGGACTGCCTAAAAGTTGCAATTTATAAACGTATAAACTCTTTTTAATCAAAATATTTAATTATTACATAGTTCGCAAGCCCTAAATAGGTAGTTCTTATCGATTCCATATCCTTCGATTAAGAATTTAACCGCATCAGCATCATCTATATTGATGAATAAAAATGAATTACATCAGTAATGACGGCGATTTGATTCAGTGGTTCAACTCACTCTTTGAAATGGCTTGTTCAATGAAATCTTCTGGGGTTTCCTCGATAATCTCATCGTTTTCGTTCGTTAACTCTAAATTAACATTTTCATATTAAATGTTGAATGGGTAAACCTGTAAATGGGATTACCTGTTGGAGTGGCTTCCACTATCGGTTCACTTTTATCGTTGAGTATACTAGCTCCGTGCGCGAAGCACACAAATAATAAAATGACCAAAGACTTCATTTTCAAAATAAAAGTTCTTGAAAAACCGATTTCAAAAGAAAAGAGTTCAATTCAAAAATAATAACTTTTTCAGAAAATATATTCACTTTAACAAATGGTCTGCCAAATAAATCCCAAATTCGATTGAGTAATGCAAATTACGCTCCCGCCTCTTATACTTTGACCAAAACGACAATTTCAAAGAACTTTTGGCTTAATGATTACAGGGTGTGCCAGTGAAACTGATATTTTTATATATGCTTATAAAAAGCGTATTTTGCGGCCAAATCCAAAAATTATTTTTGCGTTGTGTAGAGGAAGGCCACATATTTTTAATACATCAGCTAGATTGGATATCTCAATTTTTTTGTTCAGTCTGGAGACATAAATGTGCTAGAAAGAAATCAGTTACGACGCGCAACCTCATTCAGTCAAATATATGATCTAGTTGTAGCCAAGTTTCCAAACACAAATAATTTTTTCTTTTGTAGCATAAACTATTGATGTCTTAGGAAGTAAAATAAGTGCCCAGCAAAACAATAATGTTTTTGTGTTGGACACGCCAGGCCCATTCTCAACACAACCTCACTTTTCCTTATTTTTCAGAAAAACGCTTAAAAATCAGCCTTTGAATATAAAACATTATCCAAAAACTATTTTAAATTGTCAGGAACATCTTAATATCTCCTTATAAGAACAAATTAATTTCATTGAATTATCATTTTCCAAGTAAATATGGTCGAACATACAAAAAATATCAGTTTCACTGGCACACCCTGTAAATTTAATCAAAATTCGGGTCATGACATGGAATAGGATATTCTTTGAACTGAGTTCACGCTGTTGGCATCAACACTATCTTATCTTATAAGTGCGCAATTTCCATATGCAGAAAAATAAAAACAAGTTTAAATGAAGATTAAAATTTAAGCCAATTTGCTTGGTGATGAAATGAGCTGTTTTTATTATTACTGATTTCGAAGAAATGGAAATTTGTTTACATTGCCAAGATTATCAACAAATTATGAATCAAGTTCCCAATTGGCAAACAACTCTATTTGTTGGACAGAAGGAACGAGGCCAGCTAGACTAGGTTACATGGGCTTTAGCAAGATTTCATATAATACATTGCCATTTTATAAGAAGAAGGATGAACATTCACTTGAGTATTCAACAAAAATCATTTATTAAAATGACTTCATCGTTAAAGTCAGACCCATCATCGTTCTGGCGTTTCGTCAATACAAAGAAAAATAGTGACTACGATCCGAAATTGCTGCATTTTGGTGAGAAATCATCGAGTGATAAGAAGGAGCAGGCTGAAATGTTTGCAACATTCTTCAAGAATAACTTCGCCAATCAACCGTCTCAATTTCAGAATGCTGCTCAAATGTCTCCTCAATCAATCTCAAATATGGATGAATACAAACTCAACGAGTTCTCCGTGTTCAATGAGCTGCTTCAAATCAACTCAAAGAAAGGAGCTGGTCCGGATGGAATTCACCCCATTCTTCTAAAAAATTGTGCTGCTCTACTGTATGAGCCACTTTCAACTATTTTTAACGAATCGCTCTCCACTGGAAATTTTCCCACTGGATGGAAGCGCTATAGTGTCGGACCAATCTTCAAGAAGGGATCGCGATCAAACGTTGAAAACTATCGTTGCATTGCCAAATTGCCAACGATAGCCAAATTTTTCGAATATTTGATCAATTTGGATCTCAGTAAAATGGTGGCAGATAAAATCGTACCCCAACAACACGGTTTTATGAAAGGCCGCTCAACGTCGTCAAATTTACTGGAATTTTCGCACTATTCCATCAAAGCACTGAACGACGATAAGCAGGTAGAAGTTCTCTACACTGACTTCAGCAAAGCATTCGACATCGTTGATCATTCGATTCTGATCTCAAAATTGCAAAGTTTCCACCTGCCACCAAACTTAATTGAATGGATTAAATCGTATTTGTCGAATCGTCGTCAATTCGTTAAATATGGACAGATGGACTCAAGCGAGTTTGTCGTAAACTCTGGGGTGCCTCAAGGAAGCCACTTGGGCCCCACACTATTTCTCCTTTTTATTAATGATATCGTAAATGCCATCAAAGACGACGATATCTTTATCTCTCTATTTGCCGACGATTTGAAATTAGCAACATCAATCGCCAATATCAACGATACATCCAAACTTCAATCAGCAATCGACAAGTTAGGGATGTGGTGTGACAACAACAAACTGCATTTGAACCTGGACAAATGCTCGATCATGTCCATATCGAAAAAAAGAGACAAAATAATAAATTCGTACTCTTACGGCAATCATAATTTTAAAAGAGTGAGTGAGCAAAGAGATTTGGGAGTCATCTTCGACAACAAACTCAACTTCATCAAGCACATCGATTCTATTGTGGCCAAAGCGACATCAGCACTCGGATTTGTGAAGCGATTCTGCTACGATATTCCTGATGTCCATACTCTGAAATCTCTTTACTGTGCACTTGTACAGTCAATTTTGGAATATGCCAGTTTGGTATGGCTACCGTATCATGGCATACACAAAAACAAAATCGAGTCATGCCTGCGTCAATTCACAATGTTCGCACTCAAAGAATATCCAAATATTTCAAACAACTTTAAAATTTCATCGTACAGCACTCGTCTAGGCAAGCTCAATATGCAGTCACTTCAAAGACGCCGTATAAATGCCTCAATTTTATACATATTCGATCTACTGCATAATAAGATTCATTGCCCATCGCTTAAAATGGAGATTGCTATAAATCAAAATGAACGCAACCTGAGAAATATCGAATATTTCAAAATCAACGACAAATTATTAAGAATCAATCCAACTGTGCCGCTCAATCAAATGTGCAAAATGTCAAATAAAGTCCACGAACTTTTTTCTACGCAAACGAACAGATCAACATTCAAAAATCGACTTTTAGCTTTAAGTGATGAACACTTTTCCAACTTGTCATTGGTGTCTAACCATAATACTGTTTTTTTGAACGATCAAATGTGATTCATTGTGATATTTATTCTATTTATTTATATCTACCGCTTTGACTAATTGTATCCGAGTGCAATTTGAAATTTTTTACTATTAGCTATTTATCTATTTTATTGATCTATTTTCACCTATTCAAACCCGTAAATTATTTTATATTATAACTCATTATTGAAAAGATGTGGTTTTTAATGGTGATCAGATGTATATTGCATCATTGATACAAACCTTTTCTCCACCAATACATGTATAAAGATATGTACAAACTCAAAACTATGATTCAGCCAGTTTTTGGCGGTGAATAAAGATTATATTATTATTATTAAAAAAAATCAATCCTCTAGATAATGCGTATACGTTCGTTTATAAACTCTGAAAAAAGTGTGATACAATGAGCTTTAAAAAAACAAACAAATATAAAACGATTGATCAATAAACCAAGTTTTTATTTTATTTGGTCCAGTTAAGAAAGTATTAGAATATATTTCGCAAGGCACAAATAGAATAGCACAAAAGTCATGATTTAACAGCAGTGATAATATGGTTTCTTGCTGAGATCACCGGATCGAATATCGCATCGATTTTCGTGTGACAACCTGTAAAGAAACAAAAAAAACGCTTTATTAAATTTGCAAACGAAAAGAATTGAAAAAATCTAATTAAATGAAATACCATGTTCAAGAAGACACAACAGTCGATCGTATAATATAACGCTTTCAACTAGAGGCGCAAGCACCAACCGAAGTGTGTAAAATATGACAACGGATTTCCAACGCTCCAAATTCGCTAGCGTGTCTGTCGAATCGATGTCATGATCTGGGATATGAATGCCATCAAGGTGACTGACTGCCTGATGGCAATAGTCTCGAAATGTGGTCAAACGTTTGATGCTGCGGAGTCCGGAACGTTTTTTCTCTGGCCAATATTTACAAATAATCTTTTCGATGGCCGCACGGAATGAATGCACACGCAAATTATCGTAATTTTTATCCGACAAACGATTCGCATACACTTCAATTGCATGGCATGATATTTCACGGGCCACAAAACTCAAATGATAATCATTTGGATCAAAATGTCTATTCAAATATTCACTTAGCGGATATCCTTTATTTCGAATGTTCGTCGAATTGCTGAGATTTTGTATTTTAAAATAGCAACATCCAACTAAATTCAAAAATTTTGCCTCTGAACTTTGCAAATAGAAATTTGTCAGAATGGATGCCAAATCTCCGCACGGATGCAAACCAATTATACCAAATTTAAATGTTTCATTCACAGCAATTCCGAATGATTTTTTTATAGCCGCAACTAAATCTTTGAACGATGTATCGCGGTTTAAGCATATGTTCAAATGTACGGGACGCCGAAATGTAATTTCATCGGTGCAAAATCTTGTTGCCAAATCAGTCAATTGATTATCTAATTCACTGACAAAAAGATTTTTTTTTAAAATTATCATACAGATTGTATTGTGGCTGCTATTTACTCACTTTGCTTGATCAGTGAGCGTGATCTCTTTTTCCAAACAGCATACTCTTAGTCCATGACCGTAGGCAAGTACTCTTGCCAAATGGCCCAGCCCAGATCCAAAGTCCACAACATAATTTACATTTAATTCGCGTGCAATGTTAACGGTCAATTGGCTCATACGTTCAATTTCATGCCGTTTTTTCGCTTTAATATTTTTCTTCGTTAAAACTGTACCAATTTTCGGGTGTGTCAAACAGTTGAACTTTTTTTTCGGATTATTATTTGAATCGCTTTGATTTTCTTCGGCCTAAAAATCGAATGCAATAAATGAATTTTTGTTTCACATACAAAAAGCACAAATGTTCAAACCTACATCGATTCGTTGTGAAAATGAAATGGGTTCCCTTGGAATGCACAATCGCTGCATTAGTGTTCTCAGTGCAAGTAATGACAATGGCCATACTGTGCATTCGGTATTTTGTACGGGAGGAATGAGCAAATCGGTTAAATGTTCGGGCGAAATATGACCTAGTGTTTGTATCCATGATTTTGGCATTTTATCCCAGTGATTATCTACGTAAAAATCCTACACAAAAAAAAAACAATTTTCAATTGTCTATTTCAAACAAAATGAGTGTTTTTTTCTTCATACCAACACATATGAGTCCAATAACCATTCGTAAATTTTGATTACTTTTAACGCGTCACGAAGTTTACTCTGAATACTTGTAATATCATTATGATGTGAATACATCGTTTTAATACTAAAAAATAAATGAAAGACAATTTTTTTGAAAAAACTTCTTTATTTACAACGTTCAACAATGTGAACAAAAACACGTTGACAGCTAACGACGGACATTGCATATGTGTGAATAAGTGTGTGGGGAGGTGTATAAATGTCAAAAGCAACACTTACACGTATACAAATGTTCAAAATGTTTGTACGCACGTACGTTTTTAGTTGAAGTCTAGGTTGAAGTATGTGTGTATACAGGTTTAGCTGTACAATGGTTCATCTTTAATGAACAATTTTCGTTGCTTCATATTTTTTTTTTCTCCATCACGACCAACAATAACAGGCTTTGTATATTAACTGTGTAATGCACAAATGTCAGATTATCGCACAATCAAATGTGTATTACAAATAAACATGAAAACATGAACTGTATTTTTGGTTCATGAAATTGTGCGTTTATTTTCGTTTAATTTTCATTTTATTTTTCTATTTCAAAACAAACTTGTGATTGTGTGCTTAATATTAATGGTTTCCATAACAGTTGCGGTTTATCAAGAGAACGTTAGATGAATGAACCGATTATAGTTTCTGTCGTTTGATTACGATAAATGTGAGTTGAAATATTCTATTTTCATTCGGAGATTTTAGTTGATTTTATACTATATATTTATCTATTTTTTTTAATTCAAATTGATTTTAGAGCAAAGCTTGACGAAATCCGAAAAAACACACTTTGAGCAAATATCAACGATTATACTCACAACATTTGTTGTTAGACAAAATACAAGAACAATAAAAAAAAATTCTAAGAAAAATACGTCGTGTCAAGCGATAACAACTTGCCAATCCGAAACATTCCAATACCACCGCACATTATGATGACGATTGATGCTATTTCTCAACTTTTTGTGCTTACCATTTTATTAGCTACAGTGGTGATCTCTCGAACAGATCAGGTAAATTTATAAACCTTAACATATGTTTTTTTTTTAATTTCAGAAAAACACTTTTTCGTTACTTGTTCGAATCAAATAAAATATTTAATTTTCTAATCCATTTTTATCTTTGGAAAATGGTAGTTTGGCGTTGACGAACAAATTACCGATACAAATCCAAATGAAGCAATGCGAAAATTTCTTGAGCAACATGGCAAACAGGCATGGATGGAACAGGGTGACGAACGACAGCCCAAAGTCAATGTTCAACTAGAATTAAGCAAATTAAACTTTTGTAAGTCTATAATTGATGCACATTTCATGACTTTTCTATTGTTCAACCAACGCCTCTTGATTAATTTGTTGATGAATGTGTCTTTTTCCTCGAAATTTAGCTCATACATGGGAACGAACGTGGCCAACAAAAGCGCGTGAATTAGGTAGTGTGAGTGCGGTTAGTTTTGATAATGATGATAACCTAATTGTGTTCCATCGTGGTAACCATATTTGGGATGGTTCGACATTTAGTTTAAATAATGTCTATTTGCCACGAAATAAAGGTCCAATCAAGGTGAACACAATAGTTGCGTTCAATCGAAAAACGGGCCAGGTGTCATATGAATGGGGTAGTAATATGTTTTATATGCCACACGGTTTGACTGTTGATCATGAGAACAATGTGTGGATAACAGATGTTGCTTTGCATCAGGTTATGAAATTTGTCCCAAATAATCGAACAAAACCGGAATTGACACTCGGTACAGCTTTTCAACCGGGTAATGGTGCTTCAAAATACTGTAAACCAACAGCGGTCGCTGTTCTACCAAATGGCGATTTCTTTGTATCGGATGGATATTGTAATGCTCGTATCATCAAGTATGCACGTAACGGCGATAAAATCATTAGCTGGGGACTTAATTCATTTGCCGGTAAGCATCGAACCATTTGATTAGCAAAATATGAAAGTTTGGCTTCGGTGCTTGATCATGCCGAGTCCCATTTTTTTTATTAGATTCAGAGCTGTGATTGGGACCGGAGAAGTGGGGTCAACACTTATTCCATATGATTTTTTTAAGAAGAAAGATCTGTACTCACAAGAAAAGTGCTCGCACCGCACCGTGCCTATAACAGCTCTAATTATATTCGATAATTAATGTCTTTCAAACATTTTCTTTCCAGGTGAATCATTTCCACATGCACCGCCAAACTTTTTTGCCATTCCGCATGCAATGACATTGGCCACCGATTTGGGTTTGCTTTGCGTAGCTGATCGTGAAAATGGCCGTGTTCAATGCTTCCATTCATCAAATGGAACATACCATTCCCAATATCATAGTGGAATCATTGGTGATCGTTTGTTTAGTGTTGCTTATGCACCAGTCAATGGTGGACAATTGTATGTTGTGAATGGGCCACAAAATCCGGACTCATTTCATGCAGTAATGGGTTTCATTATTAATATGCAATCCAATCAAATAGTTGCAAAATTCGGTCCAAACGATGGTGTTTTCGAGAATCCACATGATATTGTTGTGTCATCGGATGGTGAAGAGGTGCGTTATTTCAATATTGATTTTTTTTTTCATTAGTTTATCCAAAAAATTTCTTTATTTCGTTGTTGTTCGTTTAGATATACATAGCACAATTGTCACCTAACATCGTTTACAAATTCAACTCGAAAAATCCGGCCACGTCGAATATCATCATTAAAGCGCCAACCGTTGTCAAGGCAACGGTAACATTCGGTAATTAAAATTAAAATAACAATCGATCGGCTCAATGTCATTGTAAAATGTGTCAATTTATTTCAGATAATAATACAAAAACATTGAACGAATCAACGGAATTGCCGACATTGAATTATTTGCAAACAAGTCGTCAAATATTGTTCATAATTGGTTTGTTTGTATCATTTGTTTGTATAACATTGTTTGCCGTATGGATTATTGCAAGACGACGGAAATTAGGTAAATTTAATACCGAACAACAATACACTGATTTAGAATACAGCAAATTAATGTCAAAGTGTTAGCGCTGCTCGTCATCATCCAGCACATACCACACACGCACAGTATATTCATACAACGATACACATATTTCACAGAGCATTTTTTATTTTTTTTTAATGAGTTTTCGCGTCCGCATCTTGTGATCTTATTTCCTCTTTACATTTATTTTAGTGTATTTTTTAGCCACCATTCCTTTCTTTTTTTAGCCATAGATTATCCGTGGAATTTTATTTAGTGCGTTTTGCATACCATTTTTTATAGAATATATATTTTTTGCCAAGATTTTATTTTTGTAGTGACTGACATCACAATTACGATTTAATATGAATTTAAATAACTGACTTGCGTAGAAGGATATTTCGAATTTGAAACGAATTTATTTTTGATATGGAATTTTTTTTGATGGGCAAAATTCAAATTTCGAAGCTATTTCTTGTTAGAAGTGCCAATTACTTAAGCCGAAAATGAAATTCAACCGAAGCCACTCAGAGTTGTATGTGTTGCTATGTGTACTCAGGTGCATCACTTGGAAAATTATATGGAGTGCCCGGTGCCTATAATCGCTTTGATAAAAAAAAAGTATTTCTCTCTCGACATTTTTCTCAATTGAATATCCATTTAATTAGTCTTCCCCATGATGATATGGGTTTAATGGTCTTCCATTACTATTTCTAATGAATGCTTTTCTACCTTCAATCGCCAATGATTCTTATTCTTTCGATTTCTATTGACAAAAAGTGACTCAAATGTTGTTACCTAATTTAGTTATAATTTGAACTCCCAATTTGTGCCGACACTTTTGCCTATCATTTTTCATAAACAAATGTTCAATTTTTTTTAAACAATTTCAACATATTTCTGTGCAAAAATAGAGATGGAACAAAAAATATTCGACATATTTTTTTTGATACATATTTCGAACAAATTTGAACAAATCAACATTTTGACATTGAAAAATAAAAATAATTAAATATTCATTACATCACAGTAAGTCAATCTCAGACTCAGTCATTCAATTTTAATCTTAATTTAAACTAAAAACGAATGTATTTTTAAGTTAATTATAGATTTTGAATATATATTTCATTTTAAATTGATGATTTTTATTATTTTCTTAAGTTGTAAGCAACAAATATAAATGAATGTGAAGTATCGTATTTCGTCCATTATATGTATAAATGTGGTCATGTAGTGCTGTTCATATACACCAATATACACCAATTAAAACTGACTTTAAATGAAAACATGAAATTGGTTTTTATTTTGAATATGCTTAATCACATCATGATGAGAGAATATATTTTTGGCTGATGACATTTATTTTCTCTATTAAATTTCATTTATTTTTTTCTTGTGCGCCGCATATTTGTTCGGTTTACAAATACATAAGTTTCAAGGAATCGCCGAAGGCATGCTTGGGACTTTCCGGCGGTTAACCGAAAAAAAACGGATGGATTTAAATTAGGTAATTTATTGGAACGAAATCGCGGATTTGAAAAATTGGATCAGGATGCAAGCGACGAAGAGCCAAATTCAAGTACAAGTCATTCACTGCTATCAAACGCACAATTTGCATAAGTATAACCTAGTTGAAAAGAATTCAAGAAGAAAATAAAAATCAATTAATGTGAAGATTTCTTCGCCAAAAATAAATTTGTTTTTCAATTCAATTGTTATTCACTCACACACCAAACACACTCGAACTCATATTTACAATAGATTTGTATTGCTGAATGCACCTTTATAAAGAAAAAAAATCAACAACTCAATTAAATATTTATCGAATAAGAACTCTAATTGCTTATTGTACAAAAATTCATGTGAATAAAGTTTTCATTTTTATTTTGTAAATAAAACGATTTCGTTCTTTGTTTGTATCTCTACCCAGCAAACAATTGTTAGGGCAAATGCATCCATTATGAAGCACATATTGACGGTCGTTTTCGGGGTTAGATTCGTGTGTAGTTTCAGTCATTTCCATAGGTTTGGCATGGTGGAACATTCAGGTGTGAAAACATGGAAAAAGGGAAAGACAACCATTAATATCAGTTGAACTGGGTATAAAATACTTTTTTTAAATTAAAAACTTTACTCACCTACGGGTACTCCCCCTCCGTACAATGTTGTACTATTGTACAACTAGACCACAAGACTTTATATAGTCTGTTCATGTCTAGCTAAGCTAACTATAATAGTTAAAATATTTTATTTTATGTAATTTTTTGAATGTATGATTAATTGATGATGTTTGTTAGTTGACATTGTTGTTTTAGTCCGGCGGTCTTAACAATGAAACTGGCAATGGTACATCAAAGATCCGGCAAAGTCCTATGTAATTTAAAGCAAATACATTAAATAATGAATATTCTGTTTCCAATTGATTCATACCTTTGAGCATAATGCATTTTGCTGCAACAATATCTCGGTGCCAAGTAACTGTTTGTGGAACAACATCATCATCATCAACATTTAATGGCCAATTTTTGTAGGTAACTTTAACCTTTGACATTAAACGCCCAGTCCGAAGTTTTTCGTTCACAGCCTCACGATTGCCATCGATAATTTGTCGCTTAATAATTGCACGTTTTCTTCTCAAAACACGTCTGTTGACCGTTGACACAATGATATCTGGCAGTCCAGCGACTGAATCTGGCAGGCCATCAATCTTTTTCGCTCTACAATCGTAGCACACTTTAAATCGATCATCTTTTGTGTGCCTTGGAAAACGTTCCTGACAATTCGCGCATGTTTGTGATGTTCCCCATTCATCTTGCATTTCAACTTCTGAATGTCCAAGTTTCTTAATGCTCACACGAAACTTACGCGATCCCGGACATCTTTTACGCTTTTTTATTCTAAACGGTCGATCGGGTTTCATCGCCCAAGCACCAAATTGAACCAACGACGGTTTGTTGTTTGTCACACACACGGCGATTTGATCATTTACTCTGGTCGAGCGAATGTGATGGTCTAAATCCAGTCGTGCATATTCACGCGTCGCATAAGCTGCCATTCCTTTTCGTAACATTTTAATGCGATATTCAATGTATGATTTCCATGTTGAATTACGTGGTGATGGTGGACGATATGGGTATGTTTTGAGATGTTCCTTCTCTTCGATATCAAACCATCCAGCCAACTTTTTCGCTTCTTTGTCTCGTTTTTTCTGCTGAGTTTCCCAATGAAAACGCTGGTTTGGTATTATAATGTTTTCCTTCAAAATGCAAAATGATACAAAAAACTATGAGTTTCTATTCAAAACCATTTCAAATTACATTTCAAAATATCTTACCTCAACAGCCGGCTCATCAGGTGTTTTTTGAATGTTGCGACGCACTACAGTTAACCACGATTTTTCATTTGGATCGATTCCAATGATGTATTTCTTGCCAATGAGTTTTTCCGGCCCCCGATTCGCTTGGGTTGTTTGCTGTGGTCGTTGTTGTCGCTGTGGTCGTTGTTGTCGCTGTGGTTTCTTGTACATTATGGATATTGAAACACTATCGGTCAAAATCTGATGATGGAATGGTTTCGATTTGCCCAATTTATTTATTTTACCGACATCGAACAACATATTCCATAGACCTGATCGATCAGTTTGGGTGTAGTACTTTAAATTTCTCTTATTCATCCGGTTGGTCCGCGTATTGAGAAAAGAAGGCACCAAATCAAGCTCGTTTACAATTTTATAATACAAGTCCTTAATGTCCAATCGCACGTTTTTCAAATGGTAGTCGCATAATGGTATAAGAGCAAAACTGCTTATTTTTGGTGGTCGATTGATTGTTGGCTCTTGAAAGTTCGGATTGTTACGAAACATTTCATGAATGGTATTCCATTGTTCGGCATGACTGTGATACACTTCTATTTGCCGTTGCATTTGACCGAACAACCACAGTGATTCAAATCAACGATATTTTGCGAAAAATTTCATACTCACTGTTCCCGACCATCCAATTTCAGTCAAATCTCTCATTAAAATATTGAATTTTTCAACGCGTTGTGGATCCACATTATTACCATTTGTTAAATTCTTAAATCGATATGAAAACTCTTTGGCATTTCTGATGTCGATGTTATCAAATCTTGAGCCATTGTTGAATCGATTGCGATACCAACAACGCATTCGAAAAAAATTCTCAAGTCGTTTTTCACACCATGTGTTGGTATTGGTTTGAATGTTTGTGATATATTGTTTATAAAAATATCTCAAACCATTTCCCAACTTTTCATCATCTGGCCATCGGAACTGTTCTTCACTGTTTCTTTCTACCATGAAACGAAACTCGGGCAATATCCGATATCGACTATTAATATTGTTAACGTGTTGGTTTAATACCGCTCTGAAACAATCGGCAATGAACAGGCTTGGATGTAGTTTCAAAAAAAATGCACGATCGTCATTATCAAGTGCTTCATTCAAAATAAAAAGAATAAAAAGTGATGCCAATGCTGCCACTTCTGTCATTTGAACACTGCGCTCGAATAGCATTTTGGTCACAGCTTCTCCAACTCTTTCAATCCGTTCATGTTGTTGTCGCAGGATTGTTTGAAGTCCACATTTTATTACAACGTATTTGCTTTCTTCTGGTTGATTATCATCGAGCTCGTCGTCATCCATGTCTTTTTCTGTTCATTCTCAAAAAACTGAATAAATTATTCGAAAATAAAAAATAGACACAAATTTAGAAAAAAAATGCAACAAAAAAAGCATAGATTACGAATAAAATGAGATCACAATTTAAATGACAATCACTTATATCACAATTCAAATTAATCACTTCTTACCTCAACGATGTCACTCTGTATTCTGATTCAAATGATGAAATGTTTTCCAATATTCCGCAGATGAAAATTTTGTTGGAATATTCACCGTCAATTTTATGAATGCTTTCTTATTTTGAAATAACAACAGAGACAATCTCAAAACCAACAGTGAATTTATCCGTTTAACATCGAACAAACAAAATCATTGGAACAAATGTTAGCCAAAAATGACGACAAACAAAATGTTTCATACTCTAATATAAACACTCACACATAATTCTCAAGAATTCCTTTTACAAGCAAAGCACAATTTGTTACAAACAAAAAATGAGAACACACTCATATCACAATTCAAATGAATAACTTCTTATACTATATAACTTTGTGTCCTGATTAAAACGATGAAAATGTTTTTTTTTATTTTGAAATGAAAACAAAGACTGTCACAAAACGGACTGTGAATCTTTCCATTTGACATCGAGTGACTTCTACAGTTACGTTCCAAACACACCAAACCGTTGCTTAAATGACGATAAACAAAAAATGAATCTCATGTACAAGAATTCCATTTATTAATCACTGAATTTTGTTTTTTTTTTCAACACAATGGCAACTTAACCATAATTACTTACCTTATTCTTAACAATAACTTCAAAATATTTTGATGCGAAAAAATCCCTATTTAGTTCAAAGAAATTAATTGATACGATGCAATGTTTACGAAGCACATTTTGAATGTAATCAGAAAAATCGGCTTCGATATGATACACACCAATACACACAGCTACCAACTGTCAAATGTCGTACACATTCAAACATGTTTCGAATTCGAAATTCGAATTTGAATTATGAAATAAAAAAAATAAAAAAATGTTTCTGAAACTAAAATCAAATCAAACAAATCTAAAAAAAAGGTACATTTATAAATTCTACGCAATGTTTTTTTTATTCATGCACAATCGAAACACACACAGAGAGAAGAGAGTAAGATTTGTATTTTCATCCTCTTTTTTTTTCCGGTTTGTTTTTCAAATTTCATTTGCTTAAAATCAATCGTATGAAAACGATATTATGAACTCAACGAGTTTATGTTATTTACATTTGTTTACATTGTATTGCCGCTACAGTTTCTTAGAATATAATAACAAAAAGAGAAACAATCGAAACACACAGAAGATGTTGTTGTGTATCGCAACACGAAAAAGCCGAAAAAGTGGTTCACATTATGCCTATATTCTACCTTCCATTTGACACGAAAATTGCCACAAAAATGGGTTAAAGCGTTACATTTTTTAACGTTAAAATGTCCTAAAAACGTTACATATTTGTCCATTGGGTATGACATAGAGTCTATGTTTTTGAAATTATTGACTTAACCCTTCGACATTTTATTATTTATTGGAATTTCAGGCCGCCATTATTTGCAGTGACGGCATCTGCAAATAAAAAAATAGCTTATTTACAGATCATAGTATCTGTATTTAAAACATTTCTTTATTTACAGTCACGACTGCAAATAAGTTATTTTGCGCGCGCGCACTCTCATTCGATCTCTCAATGGCATTATATTATTTAAAAAATATATATTTTCGTGGGATTCGGAAGTGACAATGTGAATCAGTAGTGTGCGGAGGGGGGGGTAGGGGGGTTTACCCCCCCCTGTGATTTGGATGAGAATTTATTTTTCGTGAAATTTATTCGAAATTGCTAGGGTTTTTGATTCAAAAAGTGAAGACCTTTTTTTTTTTTTTTAGCTCATCAATGTAGAAAATTGAGGAAAATTCTTTCAATTTGCTAGGGTTTTTCGCCTCAAAAAGTGACTTCCAAAAAAAAAAAAAAAAAAAAAACGAAAATTTGTCTAATTTGCTAGAGAATTTTTTGTTTTTGGAAAATCACCCCCCCCCCTGAAAAATTTTCCTCGCACACTACTGATGTGAATGATGCATAAAAAAAGTCGCATCTTGGCCGAACACTTCTGTGTCAAACCTCCAATGTACACTCTCTTGCTCGAGAGACACCGTTATTCAGATAAGATGTTAGTGGTCACCGTTTGATCTAATAATTTACTTGAACCTACAGAAAAAACGCAGAATTCCTGTTTTTCGTATTCACTCAACGCCTTTTCAAAGTCAGAAAACGAATTTAATTCCGTACCAACATTGAACGTCATCATGACAAACTAAATTGAAATATTTGTGCATTCGACAATCGATGCTAACATCTTATGGCGGCCGGAATTTCAAGGTCTACTTTGAGAGCCAACTATTTGTTTTGTACAATTTTGTTGGTTTATATTCAAAATATGCTGAAATCAATATTGTTCTGCATTGCAAAAGTGACATGAACTGGAAGCTTGGGAATACTTTGGATCAGGTCGGATCCACCTGTTCCACAAGATCCCCTTACAAAAATGAATAATGAATAACATAATGATGTTCGCGTTAATAAGATTTATCTTATTAATTCATAACATATTTTCCGGAAATTAATAAGATTTATCTTATTAAAAAATTATTGAAATATGTTATAAATATGTTAGCGGTCAACATATTTATGTTTGAAAATATGTTAATAACATATTTGCAAAGATTGCATTATGTTATTAAATATGTTATTAATATAATATAGGGCGTCAAGTGCTTTCAAATTTCGGAAATTCAGATAAACACTTTGCAATCAAAAAATGTCAATTGCAGCTGAATTTTCGCAGTGGAGTCGCTCACCAGCGGTCCTAGTCCATCTGCAACCTCAAAAGTCCGCATCTGCTTTTCAAAGTCCACCATCTAGTGAGGTCACTACGACTGAGCTACTAGCTGCATGTCTCATACTGCTCGAGATATTCCATTGTCTCAACTACAGAACTGATGGGATGTAATAGAATCAAATAGACGTTTCCAAAATGTTAATACATTGGGAAAATAAATGTGTCAAATGATTTTTGAGATAGTGATGCTCAGGGCAGTTTGCTGACGATTTAATAATACCAATCAGATATCTGAGGACAACTTGAACCGCCTTTTGACATGGCTAGTAATACCAATTATCCAACTGAATCTGCTACTCAAAGCTGAGCGCGACCTGTTATTGAATATCTGGAATCAAAGTGACATAACATATCCAACGAATGGGTACAAGTTAAGGTACAATCAATTGCAATCAATATACGCATGACCAGTATAATGTATAACAATTTTGAGTTGTATCGCCCGAAATTCGACCGGACTTAGAGCGGATTCACCCGGTTAATCCGGACCGGATCGACATAAAAAAAATGGCAGGCACCGAATGTTCTAAACAGATTTTATTTTGCAATAATTCATAAATGCGTACAATTTTATAAAGAAATGCATGCCATTGCTTAATGTCAAAAACACATGCTCGATGCAAATTGGCTTGAAATGCGCCCAAGTTTCATTTTAAAATTGATCAACAATCCAGGGTTTAACACGTTCGTAGATTCTATTCAGCATATTCATCGCATGTTTCTTCGGTTTCCGAATTAATTCCAAACCTTTATTCGTGAAATCAGTACAGATAATAGAATCCCCTTTGACTCGTCCACATTTATCCATTGTACTAAATAACGACGAACAGAATAAGAGATCAATTAAAGTTTTGATTTGAAATGCAGATGAATCCAATTCAAATCCATACCCCGATTTAGCAAAATCAATAAAGTATTTTGGCACAATTTTCATTGCATGTTCCGTTTGTATGTTTTTTGGGTCGTTTGGATTTTGTTTAATATTATCGTACAGTTCTTGGTGCGCATAGGAACTAGAAAAAAATGTTAGAAAAAATTCGATTAGAAAAATAAATGTGAGCCATTTTTTTCTTAAAAATTAATTGGAATTTCACTAACTGAAACAAATATGGCATCTCTTCTATATGACCTATAAATATAAATGAAGCTTTAGAGTTATCATTCAATAGCAACATGTATTATAAGTTGATACGTACCCATTCCGTGAATCATCTGTAGGCTCCTTTCTATTTTCACAAAGTTCAAATTCAAGTCCAAATTCATACTAAAAAAAATGTTAAACGAAAATTTCATTAGTTAATATAGTTAGGAAATGATTTAAAACGTTAAAAATTCGGTTTTCAAAGTGGTAGTTTTCCCCTTGGACCTCTGATCAGAAACTATGCAAGCATCAAAAGCTATGGCAGAAAAAAAAATGATTTCATCATACTTACTGATAGCAAAATGTTTTAGCATTTTTATGCAGTCGCATTGCGTCGTAAAATGGATAAACAAAGACAATATCAGATACCATCTGCACAAATTGATTCAAATAATAGTCAGTTTGTTCGATGCCATGTTTTCCAAAATAGAATTCATAGATAATTCGTTGTGAAGATATGTATAACTGAAACCAAAAGAAAAATAAATTCTTAAAAAGAAATTTCATTGATTTTCTGACTCATTTGACATTTGGTATATTATGCATGTCAATGAACCTTTCGTTATTTGAAAACATTTCATTGAAATCAAACGTGTTTCAATTCAAAACAGTTAGAAAAAATATTTACCGAAGAATTTTGTGGCAGAGTCAATCCATGGAAAGGTAATATAATACTCGAACTATTTTTCAAGCTCTCAAACCAAAAATATAAACTTTGTGGCATCATTAGAGACAACAGTTCCTGTGAATGGATAAACATTTAAACATTTCTTTTATATTCTTTGTTTTGTGTGCATTTTCAGAAAGTAAAGCCGAAATCTTTAGAAATTTGAAATATCTCAGTGCAAAAAAAAAAAAATAATGTTACATAAAAAACCTACAGCGCTTGTGACACCGAATACGATTGGCGTATGAATATGGGTTTCTTGATAAATCTTTCGTGGTGGTTTTGTTAAAAATGGATCTTTTGCAATTTTCTTATCTGTTTGGTAAATAAAGAGCAAAAAATCAGAAATAAAACAATACATCAATCAAAATGCATGCGAACAAACTTTCAATAACTGGTGTCCAATACAATATGAACACATTTATATTAAGTACATAGGCCGGTGTTTTTTCTAGAAGTAATTCGAGACGAATAGTCTTCAATAATTTATAAAGTGCTTTTGGATTTCTAGCACCATTCAGTTCATCTTTAAAAACATCATACATAAGTTCCAACTGATGATTTGGTGAATAATGTGCAAAATAACTGACTGCCGTACCACTCATGCATATTGCTCTATTAATACATTTTCTAGAGTGTTTATTCAAAACATGTAAGTGAGTTGACACTCCACCTAAAAGCAAATTCCCAATACAATAGTCATATATATCAAAGTCAAGCACTTTGCGAGAATTTCATGGCTTTAATGCAAATAGTAAAGTTAAATAACAAACCAGCGCTCTGTCCGAAAACAGTAATGGCATCTGGATTCCCACCAAATCGCCTAATATTACGTTTGGTCCATATTAATCCAAGTTGTTGATCTTTAAGCCCCATGTTACCCGTTAAACCACACATTTCAAAATTCATGAATCCTAACGGACCCAAACGATAATCAATGGTTACCAAAATCACACCTCCTTCTTCCATAATGGGTTCAGGTCCATAGTACCCGCTTTGACCGTCGCCTTCAGTGTATGCACCGCCATGAATGAAGAACATTACAGGAAGCAAACAATCCTGTTTCGCTTTTACTAAATTACAAATAATCGTCTTAGAAAATTGAATAAATCGGCTGAGATTTCGTTTAGCAATTAATTAATACACATTTACCGGGAACGAAAATATTTAGGTACAGGCAATCTTCCGATTGCGTTGTGTTTAGTGGAAACGCAACAGATTGATTGAGTACGCAGCAGGCGGGTTTATATTCTTTGGCATCAAGTGTTTCAAGCCATGATTTTTTTGGTATCGGCACCTATTTGTTATGTAAAATGTTATGGAAGAATTGAATAATAAGTTGACTCACGAGCATGAATTATTCCTTAGAAATTACTTCAAATCTAAGGTCACCGATTGGAGGCTCTGCATAGGGAATTCCGCGGTAAGATCTATATAATTTGCCACCTTTACAAGTTCGTTGCAAGACACCTTTCACTGGACCACTTTTTGTGTTAACTATCAGCGAATCACAATTCACAAAAATGAGAAGACACGACCAAACCAAGCAATAAAGTATTTTCATTTTCAAAACTTAGAAAAACGCGTCAGATAAAATTATTTAATTATTTGGATTAAATTGTCATTAATTTCTACAGCCGGAGAGCGTCATGTACTCGACTGAATTCAACAACTTTGAATGAATCTTTAAAAAAAGAAATAGGACATTTACATCTCAAAAATGTGTAAACATACAAAATATGTATAAGTCGTGAAAAGAGACTTTAAAGCTAATATTTCTGGTGATTTAATTAACGTCTGCAATTTATTGCATCAAAAAAAATTTACAACGCTTGGTTAATGACACGCTCAATTTAAAATCGTTTTGCACAATATTGACAAATTGCACGCGTGCGACGTGGTGTTTTGTTTAAAATTGCGCAAATGGTGGTAATTACTTTTCTGTTCTTTATTTGTATAAATTCGATCATACTGGTTTAAATTTCATTTCCAACAGATTAATGTATAGATATTCGTGTGGTAAAATAAATTAATTCCGTTTTGATAAACAAAAATTAATAATAAATTCGCTCGATATGGTCCTTTTTCATAAAAAGGAATAATTGAATCGGTTTGAATATTCGTGAGCCCAAGAAAGGTCTTAAACTGAAAGAGCAACATGTTCATATAAAAAATGTATGGGCAAGTTGCAGTTTTATTTTGACAAATTATAATATATGTGTTAGATCGCAAAATTACTCCTACAGCATTGAAAAACTCGAATATCAAATAGAAACAACCATCAATTCAGAACAACATGTTCGTGGTAGCGTCATTTTTTATTTTTATTTTTTATTACGTTTATTGTACAATTCCTTTTGTAATTGGCCAGATTGATGCATGTCTTTTAAATCAGTTTCACCAGCGATGAATTTTCCATTGACAAAGACATACGGCACTGTAGGGATAGCAGTAAGTAGTTCTAATGCATCTTGAATTTGTTTGCCGTTCGCAAGTTGATCCATTTCAATTGTTTTGAATCCTTTTTTAGTTACTAAATATTCTAATTGCTGCTTAACGGTGTTACAGTTTGGACAATTGGTTTTTGAGAAAACGACAACACGATTTTGAGCTATAGCTTTTGTCACGAACTCAGTCTCTATATTAAATAAATTAAAAATATTATAGTTTAACTTGAAAAATATATGATTTTTTTTAGGCGGTTGAAGATTATTACACAAAAATTTGACTTCTTTCTTCTTTTTTTTTTTTTACCTTTACTTGCTGCACCATTGCACACCTTATTCAATGAGAGAAAATAAAAATAATTTTATGAATTGTACGCAAAATTTCGGAATTGTCTATTAAACGATTAAAAAATTATATCGGAAGTCATAGAAAAAATGTCAGCAATGAAAATATCGAAACAAGTTTTATACTTTTATTCAATTCGCTCTTAAGCTTTGTTTAGAAATCAATTCAATATGAAATTATAACTTACGTAGAGTGCAAGAATTAATATGAAAGTTCGAATTGTAAACGACATTTTACTCGAATATTAGCAAAAAACTGCTTATTTACTTGAAGAAAGACATGATATTTATACTCTGTTTTCATGGCACAAAATATCTGTATTGATGTAATATTTGAATATTTGATATTTTTTATTCAAATTCATTCCAGCGAGCATATGACATATCAGTAATTCTGAAAAAAATATCTTCCATCAGCAAAATAACTTATTTTGTTTTTCGAACATCATTTATTATGCGCACTTGTCATGTATTGTATTCATTATCTAAATTTATTATTAATTGTTACTACAGCATTTCGCCCCTGACGAAAGTGAATTGCGTTTAATAAAATAAACAAAACGAAAAACCTTTTTTTAAATTAGTAATATATCATCATTGCAACACTTATAACATTTAAAAGTACGCAAAAGTAGAGATAGAAATATTTTCAGCTTACTTCAATGTATCGATGAATTCTCTAGAATAAATACAGCGTATGATACGGTCACACACCAAAGTTTGTTTTTACATACATTTTTTGCTGTATTTTGTATGACGGTGTTTCGCTTTGAAATGCAACCTTTCTATACGCTGTTTTTATTCCATAGCAATCCGATATTGTAGCAACAATGTAAAAAAAAAACAAAATTCCATTTTATAAGTCGGAACACTCTTAAAAATGTTTTCTGCGTGTGTTCTATTGAAAAAAATTAACATTTTCATAAGCACTTAAACGAAAACTATTCTAAACGACTATTGTACACCATGTTTCCATGCTTGCTTATACTTCGTAATGGGACATTCATTCAATAAAACTTTCGAAGTACCTGATAATAGCTATAACCCGCTTTGCAAATCTGTAAAAGACGATCATAATTTAATTTAAAGTTATTTTGGTGAAATTGATTATTGATTTAGTGTACCTTGTTAAATGTTACTCGATTGCACACAAAATCTCCAGTAGATTCCACATTAACCGTTTCTTGTGCCACAATCATCATAATTGGGAATATGCGTTGTACTTTGTATGAGAATTCATACCACTCACATTGATAGATTTCATCGTCCAGCTCCTCAAATGCCGTCGATACTTCTTGGCCATAGTAACAAAATAAGAATATTAACAAAAACGACCAATAAAGCTTCAAAAGCGCCAATATAAATGTTGCCCAATTGATGGTATCCTTTGACTAAATTTTAAGAAAATATTAACAGTTTTAAACGGTTTGAAGTTTAAAAATTTCATTTTAATCACTTAACCAATTCCGTTTGCATCAATAGGAGCGTTCCACAAATTGTTACTAGACCCCACACGAAATACACGGTCATAAAATATTTGTAGATGTCGTTGAAATCAGAAACAAATCTAAACATATAATTTATTAGTTTTTATACGACTTAATGCATTGCTGAAACTTAACTGCCTTGCATCTGCGTGGAGTTGAATGAATTGTTTAAATTTGTCTTGCTTTCTACCCGATTTGTTCAACTCGTTTGCATTTTTTAATTCATTTTTTATGTCTTGAACGAAAGCTATCGACATGGTACACAATCCAATTGGACAACATAGGTATTCAGCGACATGGTTCAACAAGGCATAACTATGTCCCACTTGAATAAGCCAAGCAAGCAAATATCCAGCCGGTGCTCTCCAATAGAATGGCAACCTGTACCAATAAAAAATAAAACCATTTAGTTTGCTTTTTTTTCTCGCTATATAAATACAATTAAATAAAATCACAAACTAACCAGACGGGATGCGGCAATATATAGTCTTCAGAATGCAATTCTCGTGTAAAATTTCTGTACAACATGATCATAAGATTCGGCACAAGAGCAGATAACACCGTAAAATTTCCAGACTTAATCACTAATGTTGCAAATGTTTCATGCTTTTCATTTACTTTCTCGAACATGGTCTTTGATGATGGATTTACTAATCCTATTTTGATCAATTATTCAAATCAATCAGCCATTTTTCTCAATTTTTAATGCACGAAGTGACTAAAACTATTTCCATTTCAGTGTACACAACACAAAATTCTCGATAGTTTTAGTCGTCGACTTGCATATCAAATGTACGGAAATATGATTTATTTTGAAATGAAAGTTATACAACAATCGGACTAACGTTTTTCAATTGCAGTTTCGAGGCTAGCGAATAGTTCAAACATTTTTTCTTTTTTCCAAAGCATAACTACAAGTTGTATAATCGTGGTACCCACAGTTGAAAACCAATAAAATGAATCGATATAATCTTCAAATTTCTCAGCATCGATGCAAAAGAATATAGTAGTTGTTAAAAAGAATTGACACAAAAAGAAGAATGCAATGATAATTTTAATATTAATTCGTCGATATTTTTGCGATTCTTGGGATGCATAAACTCCCAAAAATCTATAATGCTTTATTGTTGCTTGAAAGATTTTCATTTTCAGCGAACTTTGGTTCGATTATTTTCAGATCGAAATATAATTATTATTAGTTGTAAAGTTGAAATTTTTTCTAAATCTTTGAATGTTCGGCTCCTTTGAATGGTGGTATTGAAAATAAAAAACCAAATTTAATTCAAATTGAAACTTATTGAGTTTCATTTATTTCAAGACGATTTTTATTTATTGTGTAATACAGTAATTTTCAACTGCTCCAAGACACTTCCAAATTAAAACTACTCCTCAAATTCATGTTGTTTTATACATTCTACTTACAACGCACTTATTTTTTGTATGATCCATAAATTATGATATTTTGAAAATTGATAAGGAAAATGTGAACATTTTCATTTCATTTTAAATTTAAGTAGGTGCCTTCATCGTAAATTAATGTAAAAATCAATAACTCTTTTATCATCAAAATAAATTTCAACCGAATGCGAATAGATAGGAAATGTTAATTAATTAATATGCGAAAGTAGTAGGTATTCGTGTCCAGCAATGTGAACTTACATTTATAATTTGTAATAATGTGAAATATGTCATATTCAGTAAAATCATATCACATAAATGTGATCAATTTTCATATTGTACTCAATATTCAGTGTGTCATATAAGTGGGCCACTACTGATGGTATAAATTTCGTTTTTCTCTTTTGTTGGTATATTTTTCAAAAATCTACTCCGATAGAAATTCGTAGCAATTTATTTCCTAAATTTCTATAGGAGCAGATTTTTAAAAACAATACCAATAAAAGAAAAAATCTAAATTTATGAGACACTTATATGAGACACCCTGTTTATACATGAATCCATGCAATCTAGGGAATAAACACCAATTTATAGTATATTGTGTTTCTTTTAGTTTCTTTTAGTATATAAACAAAAACGCAAATATTCTGCTAGTATTCCAAATGGATCGCATTGCCAGTGTGAAGTCATTTCACAGACACGAATTTCTATTTATCCTTAGTTTATGTTATTTAAATGTGAAGATGAATCATTTTTTATGTATGCATTTGATGAAGAAATTGATTTGAAGAGCTATTATCAGCTATCAAAAAATTGAAACATTTTAAGTTTAGACTACATTTAATCGACTCTATCTTTGATATTTCAATAAATTCTTTCAATTTTAGTGGAAAAATAATGATTTCATGGTTTCAGCGGCCACTCAAAAACCCTATCAAATCAAGATATTCGCTCGAACGATTTAAGGGGGGTTATCCGGGCCTACTTTCCCCCTGTGCCCATGTATGTTACTAACACACTTAATCCTTTTCGTTAAGCCACAAAGAGTAATACAATACCAAATCAAAGTATCGACTTAGATTTAAAGTTAAAGACTTTGCTTAGCATATAAAAATAGAATAAGATTATGAATATATAATGAGACATACACTTTATTCACTTCGATCGTATTTTATCTGTTGCAATGTATTTATCCAAATGTTGTTAATATAGAAAATGATTTATGGAATTATTATCCTATGATATCATAAAATTAATAATTTTCTATTTCAATATTAATATGTCATGAAAAAGACACACACCCTGTTTTACCATCGAACCGAATTGTATCACCATCTCATTTCAACTTTTGAATTTCATTTTTTTTTTACCAAATTTGTCCAATTTCAATAGTTTTATCAACGGATCTTATCAATCACAATGATTGAAAGAATTATGGAAGAGACAATGGATATTTGAGGATATTTTTCACATCAGAACAAGTAAAACAGAGAATCCCTTCCAAAAATTGAAAATCCCTTAGAGTTCACCATGTTGTCAATTCATTTACATATATGATGCATTTTAATATGTAATTAGTTAAAAAATTAAGACGAAAAAACGTGTGCGGCTCACAATAATAAATGTGACTTTCATATAGGCGTGCATTTGTAAATCATAAGAACAACAAAATTAACACAATAACCTTGTCTAGCGTGACTTTTATGAAATGAGAAGGGAGTGTCTTGTTTTTATTGTTGAATGGTATTAAATATCAAATCTTCAAAATCGATTGATTGCTTATAACTTCAGAATTAGAATGACTCTGTGTTACCTGAATCAATCAGAATGAAAAAAATCGCATTTCTTAAAATCTAAGGGACTGGTTTGCATCTGAATCTATATTTGCCTAGAAAACGCCGCCAGTATACATATACAAAGTAGACGCAACATACCTATCGCTTCTCATTCTATGTTCTTCATACATGTTCGCGCGTACGCCTTAGTCGCGTGTGCGATTTGCTTGTTCCGATATTCATTGAGATCATTTTTATTTTGAGACCTATTTTTTCGACGCAACGATTTACTTGTTCTGTTGTATGTTTTTACTTATTCGATGACAACATCTATTATTTACGAAATGATTATGCGATGTCTTTTCCTTTCTTGCTTTTTTCTATTCATTTTAATTGATATGTTGACAATTTTAAGATGTTATATTTAATTCTCATTAACCCAAAAATTCGTCTTCATTTTAATGGGAATTCATTTATAACATGCTTTAACTTGTTCTTACTTCATAATACAGAATCGAAAATAATTCTATGACAATATTTTTTTATTGATTCTGGAGTGATCAAGTGAAAGAAAAAAAACGATTTTCATCATATTTCAATATTTTTTGTTTTGTATAATATAAAAGAAAGCTGTAGACCTCGGTCTTGAACTCAGTATTGCGGATGCCATGCGATTTCCATCCACAGTACCAATATCGCATGTTCAAAACCACTCGGCTACGACCTTCCCCGCCAATATATAGGATTTATTACGAATTATACATATATGTTGCAACGATCACGAGTTGTTGCCATGCTTTTTTTTTTTTTTTTTAAAGCCATACGATCACCGTCTGTCGCAAATAATATTCTACAGCTGAAATATACCATAATTGCTCACATCATATCAAACTAAACGAGTAAACCAGTTAAAATGAGCTTGCTTGAATCGATCTATTCACTATAGATAAGAGTTTATATTTATTTTTAATTTGTTATTGATTCGATCTTGTGGTGAAAGCGTCGGCTACCTCATAATCAATGATAATTATAAAAGTGGCTTTGAGACTAGTTTAGGTTTGGTCCTTGGGTAAATTGCAAACATTTCAATTGACAAAAATCAAAATGCATGAGAACACTCAGGAGAATTATTATTATTATGATTGTGTCGTGTAAGTAAAAAAAACTCAAAAAAAGACTTTTATGTGCTTTTAGTCGCATAAACAATTCCCTTTCCAATAAATGAATGCCGGGGAATAGGATTTGCCCACAGACTATTGTATCGTATTATTATATATTGTACAATAAACACATAATCTATCTTGGTTTTTGTTAGGACCTATTTTTGAAATCATTATTACGGAGTGGCGTGGCCAAAGGATGGCTACGGAGGAGGTTTGTAAATGTTTTATTTATCATATAGCAAAACGGTTTTTTGTACCTAAATTCATGAAAATGGAAGCAATTGAGCGATCGAGCGAAAAGAACCACATTTGAGACACATTCAAATAAACAATATAGAAACTATCCAATTGAATTGATTGAATATGTTTTATTGAATGTAAAAAATCTTAATAAATCCTAAATAAATCATAGATCAGAATTTTTAATGAATTTTTCAAGAAATCTAATAACAAAACATAACCAGAAGATTTTTTCTTTTATTTTGATGTACATTTTAATCAAATAAAAAACCTCTATCGAGTTAGAGAACGAGTGACGAAACCTACCTTTGAAACACAAAATTTCTGATATCAATTTTGTGACGAAAATAGTTGGTAGATATATTTTCTGTGTACTGTGAATATAAACTTAATATACATTTGTATATTCAAAACGTTGCAGAAATTTTCTCCTTTTTACTTTGAGTTCATACTGACGCAATGAAGCAACGTTCCGAATTTACAAATGTATATTAAGTTTATATTCACAGTACAAAGAAAATATATCTACCAACTATTTTCGTCACAAAATTGATATCAGAAATTTTGTGTTTCAAAGGTAGGTTGCGTCACTCGTTCTCTAACTCGATAGAGGTTTTTTATTTGATATCAATAGTTTTGTAAGTGCTATTTTCCAAGTTAAAGATTCGAGACCCATGGATTTGAATATTTTTCAAATACAATGAAAATATGGATTTTTATGTTATTTTTGGTTCAAAATGATATAAATTATGGATCATAATGAGGAACAGAGGTTTTAGCAGTGGTGTGTGGTATGCACATTTTTTTTATCTTTGACTTGGGGCTAAAATTGATGAATTTTTAAAAAGAACCTATGCAGTCTTTTTCGAGAAAGTGACCGTTATGTGTCCGGCCAGACGGTCAAATTTTGATTTTTGAGCGATTTGGCCACCTGAACTTGAAATTTTTAAGTCGCAATTGGCACTATTCGATAGCTTACTTTAAGACCTTTCCAACGAATATGCATATGCCTTGCGTAAGTCAAGTATAGGTGCCACAGCGATTGTTTGAAAAAATGGCCATTTTTGGCCATTTTTGCACTATCGAAGGCCATATCTTGAAAACAAGAATTTTCTGGGATATGAGCTATGCGGCATATTATAGCTTAGACTTGGGCCTAAAATCGGTGAAATTTTCAAAAAAATCCTTGAGCTTGTTTTCGAGGTAATGGACGTTATGTGTCCGGCCGAACGGTACATTTTTGGTTTTTGGCCAATTTAGCCACCCCACATTGAAATTTTTGGACCGCAAATGACTCCATTCGATAGCTCACTTCAAGACCTTTCCAGTGATATGCATATGTCTGGGGGGTGTCAAGTCATGGCGCTTCGGTGACCATAGGGAAAAAAGTCGAAAAGTTACTTTTGGAGGCCGGCCACGGCCAACAGTACGCAAAATCGCGCACAGACAGACAGACATTTTGATTTTTCATAGAGATTCATATGAAATTTTTAAAACGCTGAAGTTTTCGAAAAGACCCTTTTCTTGAAAGGACCGTATTTTGAAGACGGGTGGACCGATTTTCAAACTTTGACATTTTTTCTTGATCTATGGCGAGATCGGTTGACATTTGTCCAAGATATGTCCATTGAAATTCAAACAGCCATAACTTCGCCAATTATCAACTGATCTTGATGCTATATAGCATTTATAACATATACTTTTTATGAACTTGTAAACTGCATCATTAGATTTTAAGACCGATGCCCGAGTCAAAAATTAAATTTTTGAAAAGTTGACCGGTTTTTTATAACGGGCAAAAACTGAATGTAAGCCGGAAAACTTTTAGGGTTTTTATCTTCGATAAGTCAATAAATAAGTGCAAAAATATTGAAAAAAAAAATGAATTTTATAGGTGGGTCTTAGTGTAAGTGGAGAATACCGTAACTTAATCAATTGAACGAATAAAATGTAGGTGTTGCTTTGTCGCATGCTGCAATTCTCGACAGTGCCACTCGATTGGAATCAATCATAGAACCTTCAGATGTAACTCTATCATTTAATATTTTATGTGGTATACGCAGTACTCTATGGTTCATGGCAACATCCTTAAATGGATTGACGTGTATTGTGAATCCGGGAGAATTTTCACCAGATCTTTTTTTTGAAATAGTAGAACAGTTCAAAGTGACATCGTCACCGACATCAGCATATAAACTCTTAGATAGTGAAAACATTGAAACTGCAAATTTGTGGAGTATAAAACATTATCTATGTTCCGGTTCAAAGTCATCATTGAACCTCATACAAAGTATGAATAAATATTTGAAGGGCGGTAAATTTAGTCAAGCTTCTGGAATGTCTGAAGCATCCGGATATATCGCCATGAATTTGGCTCATTCGGATAATGACTGTGCAGGTCAGTTGTTTAGCGGATGCGACGCTAAAATTGTCAATGAACAAGGCAAACGACTGGGTGTAAACGAAGTGAGTGAACTATGTATAAAACTAACTTCTCGGATATTTTCGCGAAAAAGAAGAAAATCACGATGATTTTGATGATGAGGGATTCTTTCCTACTGGTGACACTGTTCGTTTTGATGAAAACGGCGACATGTTTATCATCGATCGTAAAAAAGAGTTGTTTACATGTAACGGTTACCATGTGATGCCAGCTGAAATTGAGGGATTCTTGAACAATTTAGATGGTATACAGCAGTCTTGCGTAGTTCCAATTCCGGATTTACAAAGTGGAAACATTCCGGCGGCTTTGATTGTGAAAAATAAAGAATCAACTTGCAACGAAGACTTTATTTATGCTTCCGCACTGAGTAAGTTCATGCTTCATCAACTACAAACAATTCGCTCAACTTTTTTTTCACATTTCTAGACCATTTTGCCCACTGTAAACGCCTTCAAGGTGGTGTTTACTTCGTCGATTCGATACCAATGACCGAGACCGGAAAATTTGCTCGTCGTTCAGCTATTCAATTAGGCATTGGGCTGTATAACCAAAGAAAGCAATAATTTCCTTTGTGTGAAAAGGTGGTGACTGATATTTTGTAGATGAAAAGAAATCAAATTTATTTAATCAAACATGATCAAGCCTTATGCAAGCATATATTAAGATCGTGCTTTGAGCCAACCATCCAATCGCTGTTATAAATTTTTGCTGCTACAGTGCAACTGGTCAGCGGATACTGTGCAAACAGTAATTATAGTAAACAGTATTATAGCAAGCACAACGAGAGATTTAACCAACAGTTTCATTTGCATAAGGGCAGTCACTTAAAAAGAAATAAATACAATTAAAATCAATTGAAAAAATGATTTTCTCCATTTTAGCATTAATTTTTCTTGAATATTTAACGAAATATTCTAACGAAATCTATATCGGCAATTCCATATCAACTTTTTTGTATGAGCTTCATATCAGAAACGGATCGACCGATTTCAAAAACATGTATACCGTTGAAAAGGGGATGGATGGGGCTACAAAAAATGCCTCCTCGGGGGTCAAAAATCAAGTTTCGATACAATTGCCATACAAAATTTTGCCAAAATTTACAAAGTGTCAAAAATCGGGCTTAAATTTTTTCTTCTTAGTTTTTCACCAAAACAAGCTTGTATGCCAATTTTGAGAGAAATCAGAGACTATGCCTGGCTAAATCTGCCGAAAAGAATTGCCGATAAATAAAAGTTTAATATCTATATAGATAAAATATACATATGAGTACTACAATATTTTTTGAATTCCATTGAACGAGAATCGACCAATAGCCGAAAACAAAACTATCTATTATTAACCATTCAATGGCGAATACCATTTTAACATTTGTTTTGTATTTAATACAAGCTTTTGATCATTCTTATTTAGTGAACCTGAATTGAGGGGCTTAGAGGAAAAATGTTACGTAGAAAAGTTCCGCGGAAAAATGTTCGGGAGCTAAATGATATCATTTAGCAAAGCCAGTTGGTACCAAATAGCTCTTCTAAATGATACCAAATAGCTCAACTAAAGCTATTTGGTATCAATTAGTTAGGATATTTGTGCATCGATAAGATTACACTGTGTCATTTTTCAACTTCAAAAATCTAACTGACATGAAAGACACCATTTCCGCATAATTTTGGGACGGTGAATTTAATGTTATCATTCGTTTTTCTCTATCACGTCGGAGTTTTTTTTAACATTTTCCTTAGATATTTTTTGAAAAGCATAAAATTGCATCAATTTTAAAAAACTTCCAAGGAAAATTGTAAAAAACTCCGATGTGATAGAGAAAAACGAATGATTACATTGAATTGAGCGCACAGTGTTACAGGTGAACGAATATTTTTTTCAGTTGAATAATGGGGTGGAACATTTTCGACGTCAGCTTGCGGCCACTTGGAAAAACATGTCTTATGGTCTCCAGATTCCGCAATTTTTTATGATTTTCCAGTAAAATGGTCCTCTTTCATTTTCAAGTCGTTGTCTCATATCAAACAGAAAATTGAAATTTCTTTCATATCTTGAATCTGGAGATAATAAGACATTTTTTTCCAAGTGGTCGCAATATTATGTCGAAAATGACACCAAATTTGAAAAATAGTTCCACCCTAATGAATATTGTTTATATTGTTTTATTGTTTTTCATCTTTATAATTAACGTAAATTTATTATAAAGAGTAATTTTGCATTTCAATACAAATGATAAATTTTTTATGTCATTGTTTATTGAAATTTGCAACGAACTCTTGCTTGTGTTAATTCTTGCGTGCGTTAAACCTTTTGATTGTTGTTTCTTTAACGATTCTGCGCAGTACTTTGGCCGATTGAGTTATTGGTAATGAATCGACAAAATAAACGCCTCCACGTAGTTTACACTGATCTGCAAAATGACCTATATGTAAATAATAAACAAAAACCAATGTGAGTGTATTTTCGTCAGTAAATCTTTTAAATTATCTAAACATAAAACACAGTTCATTTTTACCAGCAACCATATCCAATACTTCTTTTTCTGAGATATTTGATCCATTTGCACGAACAATAACTGCGGCTGGTAAATCGCCAGCCACTTGATCTGGATCTGGAATACCTACCACACAAACTAATTTAATATCTTTTGACTCAATCAAAAATGCTTCAATCTCCGACGGTGAAACTTGTGAGCCGCAATATTTAAAAATGTCTTTTTTCCGATCGACAACATACAGATATCCATTTTCATCGAAATGGCCAATGTCACCACTCATGATAAAATCTTCTTCGTCGAAAATGTCATTGCTAGCTATTTCATTGCCATAATAACCAAGGAACTTGTAGTTTGTTTTAATGCAAATTTCGCCATTTTCACCAATACCACATCGATTCCCTTCGTCGTCGATTATTTTAATATGGATTCCGTTAGCCAATTGTCCGACGGTTTCTTTTCCACTTAATCCGGGATAATCAAGGGCTGCAACACATGCTATCTCGCTCATTCCATATACATCATGAACTTTTCCATTTGAAAGATGATTATTCATTCCATTTCGTAGATAGGTTGGCACTTTACTTCCACCAATCATCAAAATATTTAAACTCGACAAATCAGCTGTTTTTAAATGTTCGCTTTCCATCAACAAGCATATGTGATAAGATGCATTCATTGCAATTGTAACTTGGTATTTTTCAATGATAGAAAGTTCAAGTTCTGGTGACCAAATATCAGTTGTAATAATTCGGGTTGCACCACATAGTGTTCCCCGCAATAAAAATCGTAGGCCATTTATCCATTGAACTAAGCCAAATGACAGTATTACATCACTGAATGTACCGATATTGAATCGATTGACTGCATCAAGAAGTGCAGCGTGTGATATTCCAGCACATTTTGGAAGTCCAGTTGTACCAGATGAGCAAACGATTACAGCCGCTTCGTTTTTACCATCGACTTTTACTGGGCTGCAAATCAATTTAGTTTTTCTTATTTTTTTGTTATTTTTGCATCAAATATTATAACTTACATAAAATCATTCTCGTATTTAGTTTTCAAAAATAAATTTTCGACTGGTTCTGAATCACCTTTGCTACCACCAAAAGTCAATATTTTAGCCTTATTTCCTAATTCCAACAAACATTCCTTTAGTAAATCATACATTTCGATATCACAAAACATTAGCACTGGTTTTGTTATCTTTAGCATGTGAATGATTTCCGTTTTTTTAAATGAAATTCCAAGTGTATTTATTGGACAACCAAGACACATTGAAGCAAATATAATCGGGGCTAAATGTTGTGAATTTTTTGCAACGAGTCCGAAAACTTGTTTCGATTTATATTCCCGTTTTTGGAGATTTTGCGCTGCACGCACGGTTTTCATTCGAATTTCATCGAAGCTTAAGCGAGTTCCATTGTCATCGCTAATCTACAATAATTAATAAGGGATTAAAATCAATTTGAAATAAACGATGAAAAAGATTAAATTGATTTAAGCACCTGGGCTATCTTCGGGCCATAGTTTTTTAATGCCCCTAGCATCACTTGTGCAACTGATATATCTGGATGGTACAAAGGAAAAATATCACGTCCACTCCATAATTTTAGTTTTTTGTCAAAACTCGTAGCGAAACTGAACATTGCTGATTTGGAATTATTTAAATTCGAACTTAAAGACAGCTGAGACATTGAAATTAAATTAACAACGAGATGAAAACATTTTGGTTTTATATGCATTCCAAGGCTAGAGAAAAGAATACAGTCTTTGAATCGTGTCAAAACGTCAATTTTGCTTAATAAATGTTTTTATGTGATACAATCATTTTTTTATTGGTCTTTTTATTCGCTCAATTACAATTTCAAAATTACTTAACCATATATGGTCTTATAAGATGAAAAAGATTTGCCATTAGACCTTATACATGTATCAAGCAAGTAAATTAGACTAAAATTTATCCTTTTATTGTTTATTAGTTTATTATAGTATGTATTTATGTGATCATTACAATATGTCTACTACCTTACTTTATATACAAGTGCTGAGTTCACTGCGTGGCGAGGAATGTTTTGGTATTGTTTTTGAGTAAGACTTGATGATCTTTGTAAAGGACCCAGATTAAATATCAATGAGAAAAACCCAAATTTATTGGAAAGTTGCCGAATGATATTATGTTGAATATCTTGAATATTATTAAAATGCTCGTTAAAATAATATTAATAAAAGTACACACAGAGAAGTAATACAATGAAAACTAGATGGCGTGTCGTATAAAATTCGGAACTAGTTGACACTCCGACGGAAAAAAAAATTGTATTTGTTCATCTAATTTCATACCAAACATCATTTGAGGGGTTCCGAGGAAAAATGTTACGTAGAAAAGTTCCGCGGAAAAATGTTCGGAAGCTAAATGATATAATTTAGCAAAGTAATTTTAAGTAAACCCTAACTAATTGATACCAAATAGCTTTAGTTGAGCTATTTGGTATCATTTAGAAGAGCTATCTGGTACCAATTAGCTTTGCTAAATGATATCATTTGGCTCCCGAACATTTTTCTGCGGAACTTTTCTACGTAACATTTTTCCTCGGAACCCCTAATTTTTGTGTATTCCCTTTTGTGCGGTTCTTCTTCGTTTATGCTTTGAAGAAGATCCACATAAAAGAGAATGCACAAAAATGATATTTTGTATGAAATTAAATGGAAAAATACAATTTTATACGGAGTGTCAACTAGTTCCGAATTTTATACGACAACGACAAGCCATCTAGTTTTCATTGTATCATTTCTTTGTGTGTACCTAACTGAACAAAAGTGTCATTAATATCAACTATGAAATGTGATAAAAACTAAACAGATTTCGAACAATTTTCATGAAATAGGTATTCAATGGTTTAACTAATGATTTGTAACTCTGCTGAGACAGAGTTATCATTTGTTATCTAACCTCTTTACAGCTGATATAAAACCAAAATTATGATTTTATTTTCCTTTATTGTATTCTAATTTTGCTTGAAAAATGAATAAACTGACACATTATCAATATTGTTATCGATTTTTTTTGTTTTAGATTTTGATTTTTTTCTTTATTGCGAGTGTTTTTGTTCAAATATATCTTTTTGAATCAACAAGTTGTACGTAGAATTGGTTTTATCGTGAAAATCGTTTCCATTTTTGTAAGTTATTACTAGAAAAACACCCCACTGGCTCCTATCAAAGAACCGAACTGCTGACGCTGAGAAGTCGCACTGTATTTACATTATCTTGGATTTGTTGATGGGTTAAAAAAAAGCTTCAATGGTTGAGAGGATGGGTGTCAAGTGAAGCGGTTGCTATAGTGAACGATCAAAATGGTGTAACTCGTGCATCAATCAAAACCAAGAGTGTCATCATCCTTCACCCACATTTGGTGAACGATTCATCGAATTAAAAAGATAACGAACGCTCAAACCATTTGTCATCGTAACAGCTCTGTGTTTCTTATCTCAATTAACAAGCGTGTTGTCGATGCGACCATATTTTGCCCTATTCCACCCGATCAAGTGGCAGCTTTGATAGGATTTTTCGATAATATTACACCGGATGCTCTTCTTTGTAATTCGATTCATGGGTAAACGAAAACTATACATCGCCTAGCGAATACATTTCATTTAAAAAGCGAACATTTGAAATGGAAAACAAAACTCTCACTTATATACCAGTAGTTTGTCTCACATTGTGGAGTTTCTTTTCGAACCTCGGTATTATTGTAATACATTGGATGATGGCCTCCGAGCTATTTCCATTGAAGTCAGTTTTTTTTCTTTTACTTATGGTTAATTTATGGAAAAATCGCGATTTATTGCAAAAACTATAATCCATTTTCAGATCTCGTGGAATCGCAAGCAGCATTTCTGCGGCTGTTTATTATTTCCTTGGTTTCGTCAGTAAAAAGACGTATTACGATTTGGAAACATCATTTTCATTACCCGGAATGGCATTATTTTATTGCATTCTATCTGGTTGTGGATTGGTTTTGATGTATTTGATTCTACCGGAAACAGAAAATCGATCACTAGAAGACATCGAACTTCATTTCTCGGATGATTTCAAGGGAATCACTGATTATGATGTTGCATAATATCAAAGCGGAAAAATAAAAATGAACTGAATGATAATGCGGAAAGTTCTCAAAAGACAGAGAAAATTTGTAACACAAAATTGCAAACTGTTGTTATAAAACAGTAAGCAAGCACACGCTTGGCAAGTACACATTCAATAAGTAAGTCTAACGAGAGTCGTCGTATAGTCAAGTTTGTGTTTTCGGCACATGTCGATACCATATTTTGGCAATTATGAATCTTGGTTTTTCGAAGGAAAATATAATTAGTTGCAACTGTAGCTTACTTTCATTTCGTAATAAGTGTTTTAAAACAGGCTTAAATAATCAATTCTTCAAACTTTCAGAATGTTAGCTTTTTGTGAAAAAAATACCTCGTGCAAAGTTTCACGTCATTACGAAATCATACAGGCATTGAAAAGTCTATCAAAAATTATTTGTATCGCAACATTTATATCAGATTCAGTTTTCTCATGAATTCGTATTTACGGTAAAAGATACGTAATAAATGCATGTTGTGGATCACAGTGCGGAAAAGTTCATCTTACGGATGTAAGACATTTTATTTTTATAGTGATTCTCACCATCAGAAATGCTTGGTTATTATAAATGCAAAACTTTTTTATAGCACTTATTAGACTATATAAAAGGATAAACAAATTCATTTTGTCATTTCTCAATTTTTTTATTCATATTCTAAGTTTATTTTGTTCTTAAAACTAAACATTACACATACATATTTTGTTTGTTCACAACATATCAATATATATGGAATTGATAAGAGTTCAATATTTTTTTGAGTGTTATCTGAAAAGGAAATCAATAAATTAGCTTAATGTTAACATTCATATCAAAATGATCTTCTAACTCTGTGTTCCATCCTTATCAGTTCCATCCTTATATTGATTGCTTCTCTTTTGCATAATAATCATTTGAATATTAAAAACGAACCAACTATTCTGAAAAACGCTGAGAGCTTGAAACCATCGGGGAAGGCAAAAAAGTCTTAGTCATTACACAGATATGACTAAAATAGCCAAATGTGTCCAGGAATTTTATAATTGAAAATTGAAATGTTGACTTTTATTTCGGTTGAATCGTTTAGAATATTCATGACGCTCAAGTGACAGAGGTGTTAAAGATTTAGACGACATTCATATAAAAAAAAATCATTGTCGGTTTTGAATACTCTAAGCGATTCAATTTGTATTTGATTTGAATATAATTTTTATTTTTATGTTTAATTAAACAAATCTTTTTTCACTCAACAATTTGCTAAACAATTCGAAAAAAAAACACCTTAATTTCTGAGACTCATTTCAAAACAATGTATAGTTACATGATTATAATTGATATTTTATCAGACTTATTCGCTAGTAAGGCAAAACTATATATTATAATAGTATTTATCAAGTAGGTGGATTGATGATGATGACGATGACATTGACCGCAACTCAATTCATATGATACTTGAAAGAACGAAAAACTGCCCGCTAAATACTCCTTATATTCTATATCGTAAAAAAATAAATTATTCATCAGACTATTTTTAAATAGCATGCAAGTTCGGATCAATTTAGTTTGGTTTACAATAAGCCATTTGTTCAGTTATCTTCAACGTCCCTGCGTCTTGAATGAGGGAAAGAAAGATAGTACAGCTGATTTATGTGATGTATGCCCGATTCATCGAACAGAACTCCAATAGTTTTGAGTGTGCCGTGAGAAAAATTGAGCGATTGTATTTTTTCATTTAAAATTTTAAACATCGTTTTGAACATTGACATCGTTTTACAAAAATATCCAATTTTTTTCAAACACAATTATTTTTTTTCAATCAAAATACAATATTTTGTTTCATTTTTTTTTAAACATACAAATTTAGGCCAAAATTGATCGGGCTCGTCTCTTTATTAATGTGTCATAATTATTATTTATTGCTGTTCGATGCGATTCTTTCAGATATTTCTTTTTAAGAATAATTAAAGCTGCTACACTTCCGAAGAAAAAAAAATACAATTTTCCTTAGAACTAAAGTATGATCAATTAAAATGCTAAAAGCCTTGCTTTCTTTTCTTTTATATAAAATTAAATTGAATTGAAAAGTAAAATTGTACTGTGAATATTGTTGTTATTGTTTTACGAAAGTAAAAATGCAATCGATTGCGGTTGAATTTTTGTTTTCTCTTTCAAATACACAGATTTTAAAAATTGTCAAATTTTTTTTTCGAAGAGACACCTCTCCAAATAAGACCATTTGCTGGATTTGCCCAAAACGATATTATAACCAAATGATCCACATAGGTACATATGCTCTCTCACAAATCAATTGCGTCATAATTGTACATATACAGTCAAAAATTGATAAATTAAAGCTATGAATATTTAATGTTTTTTTTTTTTTAATTGTGTTTCCATTCTAAGCAGTTGATAAGTGAATAATGTGATTTTTTTCGGAGTTTCCAATTTCTTAAACATTGATTGATCCATTGTTGGTCGGTGCATTGGTGCCCAAATCATAGCGCACAGTACCACCACAATTGTTATGCTGCCGATTCCGAAAACCCAATTCAGCTACGAAATTTGCCTAAATTATGTGCAAAAAACGAACAAAAATTATTCATCAAATTTATATCATATCGAAATGTAATGAATTTTGTAATGTAAAATGAAGGCGAGATCATTTTATGCAGTAGAAATGGTTTTATTTCAACATTTTTTTTCCTTCATTTCAATTTGGTTGCAAAAAATAATGATACAAAACGCTCGAAATGCCGATAATCTCGTGAAGTTGTTGACTGCAGTGACCGGTTCGCGCATATTTCTATGCTTGCCTAAATACGCTAGGTAGCATAGATATGCCAAGCATAGCCGCAAACGCAACCGACGTATCGCCGTTCACTCTATATGAACAATACACATGTTCGTTTATGCAGACGACCGTGCGCATACAATATATAGCTCGAATCGAATGGCGACGGGTGCGTTGCGGCTTGCGTCTCCGCTATGCTTAGCATAGCTATCAGGCATAGAAATATGCGCGAACCGGTCACTGTGTTGAGTCTATTTGTTTGAACATTCAAAATATCCACCGCAATGATCTTTCCTTCGAAATTCCATTGGAAAATTCAATGTAACTTACAATGAGTGTGGCAACAGTGATACCAATCAAACCGCCAGCCAAAACGTCACTCCAGTGGTGTTTGTAGTCAGAAATGCGGCTCATGCATGTAAACCATGCCATCATCAATAAAAGATATTGTAAAAAGTGTTTTAATAGTCTTGATCCTCGCCAGGTCATGCGTGACTGCAAATAGATCTGCGCAAAATGAAAGAGAAAAAGAAGATGAAAAAAAAAACAGAAAATGAATTCTCTCGCTTGAAATGTAACTGACGTTCATTTAAAAGTAGTAAATACTGCGTTGTTTTGATTTTTCAATACAAAACCGAATTGTGTTCAACTTACGGCACAGTAAAGCATCGTGTAGCATGAGAAGCTTGAGTGACCACTTGGAAATGAGAGGTGCACTTCTTTGAGTAATCGTTCGCCAGAATCACCAAGACACGTGAATTCTTCAATGTATTTTCCAATATTTCTTGGATCACTGCAATTCGTTCCGTCCAACAATTGTGGTTGGCACACCTAATGAAAAATAAAATACAGAAATATTAACGCTTGTTAAAAAAAAGTACGTCAATAAAAATGAATCCATGGACAGCGTGCAATGTTTATGCACAATCAGTTGAACGATATGTTCAAGAGAATGGACTATTTTTTATGACTTTTTTTTGCAGTAATGGTTTGCAGCCGGTAAAGTCATATATTTTTTTTCGAAGAAAATCGGCGTGAACAGTCAAAGTCAGTTCGTACAATCATTTACATAACAATGTCGAGAGAGAGAGAGAGAGAATATTAAATCTGCCGACGTCGTCGCTCTTAAAAACGAATGCATTCACTCCGAACGTCAATCACGTTTGAATATTTATTTTATTGAATTATAAATATTTAGATGATGAGACGTAACATAAACCGAACCAAAAAAAAATAAGATGCCGCACGACTGCTCAGATCATGGTGTGATTGTGTGGACTTGTTTATTTATTTATTCGCTTTGTTCTTTCGTAGTTTTCTCTCTTTTTCTTCTACAAACAGTTGGTGTTGTTTGAATTCCGAGGTGGTCCGTGGAATTTTGTTATCGCTTCGAACCTTCGAAGCACTTAAGTAGATCCACTCATCATTTTCAACATTGCTCTGTGTATTTTCAAGAGAAAAGAATGACTCGTAATCAATGTTTATTCCATGATCCCTTTTTTATCAATCATAAAAAAATGCGTTGGCATCTATGCGCTCCTTTGGCTGTATGATGAGCAGCATAGAATTAATGTACAGAGATAACTGTGGTACCAATCACCGACTCACATTTACCAGTCGCGCTTACAATTAGATTGTACTCTATCCAATTCGAATTCAGCACGGACCGAAACGAAAGGGAGTCGAAAATTGTGCGCATTGTTAAGACTCTATGATGTGTGATTAAAACAATTTAAACATCACATGTCTACTTCGTTTAATTTTTATGGAACGGTGTTGATTCACCGTATATGATCGTGTTTTTTCTTCATCAAAACGAGATTTTTTTTTTTAAATTGGAAGCGGAAATTCTAATTGAATGCGTGATCAGTGCTGATGTTCATGCTGTTCGGCAAATTTTAGTGCACTCATTTGTTCTTAATTTTTTTTTGTTACATCAACTACGCAATATTAAATCACAAACAACTAAATTTAAACCTCATCATGTTTTGATTGCTGTTTGCAAACATAACTGTTCATTTGATTTTTCGTATGCATCAATTTATTTGCGAAAATGTGCAAGGTCAATTGAATTGGGATCAACCGCAAACGCAAATAAGAGTCAGTCAACCGGTCGAGTGTTCAGTTCAATTGTTTCCGGTGTGTGTGCACGCTCGCAAAATTCATTATTCTTTGCAATAAAAGTAAGAGAGAGCGAGAGAGAGTGAGAGAGAGAGAGAGAGAGAGAGAGAGAGAAAGTGGGACCGAGAGAGGAGGACAAAAAATTGACAGAGATGAAGTACAAGAGAAGAAAGAAACCCTCTTAAAACTGACTCCAATTGAACTGACTAATCCAGGCAAATGCAATTAATTTCCAACCAGAAAACATTCAAATGATGCATTGGCCGTACGTGATGAAGTCAGATTGTTCAGGATAAAATGATTCACACACAACAACAAAAGCAAATTATTATTATCGTGGAATGAACAACTAAAATGCAACGTTTTAAATTGGATTTTTACCGTAATTAAGTGGCGGCGACGGCAACAGAAACATGTGCAAATCGACGACGTACTGATCTCTTAGCGGATCACTTCAAGTGCACTTTTCGAAAAACTAAATATTTATCACATTTCTCTCGCCTTCTCATTTGTTTCGCTCCTTTCTGACTCTCTTATTTCAATTGATTTCTGATTTGATCAAAACCGAAACGCTTCTGTGTGCATGTAATTTCAATAAAAATGAGTATTGTAATTCAATTGGATCTATGTGCTTGCTCCGCATGATGCAATACTGATAATCGTGCTAAAATGTATTGATTACACATTACCTACAAAATGCAAATCAAAACAACAGTGATTATTGCACGTTTACATTAATAAAAAAAAAACAAACTGTGAAAAATGCCAACGTAAAAGAGTTCGAACATTGAATAAACATATAATCAGCAGGAGTCGCGTACACGGAACAGGTTGCAATCTTTAATAACTATGGCTGGGTATAATGCATATTCATTTCAAAACAAAGTGACACTCAAATGCGAATCCAAGTCGGATGGTTTCTTTATTGTAATCTTGTGTTGGATATTTGTTTGACTTTTGCTGGTCCAAACAAAGGCACGTTATCACGATAATAGTGAATCGAGAAAGAGAAAAGGTATAATACTATGATCGCGGACAATCATGATTAAAAATCATAACAAGAAGGAAGAAATAGACCGTATTCTATTCAAATAAGAAAAATAAAAGTTTTTTTTTCTTTTGAAACATACAATCAGTGAACCGATTTTTCTGAAATGGTTCACATCAATTTAATGTGCATTTCTCAGCATTTTTCTATAAATTATGAGCGCGGTGTTTACTCTCTCAGCTGAAATCGGAGCTGCCCGTTCTCACAGCAAACTCTCACAAACGCCTCTTTATACAAATGTAACTGGCTTTCGTTGTGCATTCATTTATAATCAAAAACCATTTAAGATGTGAAGAAAAAAAAAACACATAAAACACACACGAAATGAACGACAAACGAATGAAGAACATAACCATTACATTAAGAGCCATTGAGATTGCGGCCTGCCGCAGTAAATTAAATTCAAATGTATTTTAATTTCGACTTCGGTTTTCAAGATGAACAACAAAATGTTCTCTTCCGTAATTTTTGTTCGCTCAATTCGTACGTGTGTGTGTGTGTGTGTGTGTGTAACATTACGTTTCAAGTGGCTTTTCAACTTTTTTCCTCCAGTATTTTTGCTCTCTCTTTCTTTGTCCTCTCTCTCTCTCTCTCTCTCTCTCTCTCTCTCTCTCTCTCTCTCTC